CTCTCTCTCTCTCTCTCTCTCTCTCTCTCTCTCTCTCTCTCTCTTTCTTGAGTCAATTTTGAATACATGAATACAATTACAATATTAACCATCCTTTTTTTACTGTTAAAATCACGGGGGGAGGGGGGGGGATGCTTTCTTTCTCATGTGATGTTTTTCTTTTTAGAATGTTGGCATTGTTTGATGGGGGTTCTATATATATATATATGTGTGTGTTTTACGAATTGTATTTTCCCGTGAGACGTCGACAAGTGCCTGCCTGTTGAAGAGAATTTATGCCCGACACGTTTGACAGTGTATAGAGCTGTGTCTGGTTTACAACCGTGGAGTGATTTTTCCTTTTTTAAAAATCAATTGCGTCACATGTTTTCGCAGCTCGTCACTTCCGTTTCCTTCACCTATTGTCGAAAAAAAGAAGGGAAAATGAAATAATATACACGGAGTTGTGACTAAAGTTGTAGTTGTAGGGTAAGTCCACAGGTACTCGATAGCAATTAGTATTAGATAAATAAATGCTTTCCTTTCCGGAAGGCTACCCAACGTTTAATTAATCTAACCCAATTTGAGCAATTTCTTAACATTGAGGCCTCCATGGCAAAGATAAAAAGTCAAGATATCTCATTCAGTTCAGTCTTGAAGAAACCGCCCGAAAAGGGCAAAATTAATGTCGAACAAACATTCTTCTTATTATTATGTCATAAAACTTCAGAGGTGGAGGTAGGCTTGTATTTGTTGAGGGTTAGGGGTAGAGGTATGGGTAGGTCTCTTCTGTATTGTGTTTGTTGAGGGTTAGGTTTTTAGGGTTAGGTTTGGGGTAAAGGTGGAGGTAGGGGTAGGGTTAGGGGTTGGGTCAGGGTGCGGGTTAGGACTCTTCTTTATTGTGTTTATTGGGGTGGTCGCTCGTTGCAGAAGGGTAGGTTTTCTTTTCTCGTAGAGTAATTTGATCAGGAGCAGCACTTCTTATTTATGAGGGGGGGGGGGGCTTGCCTCCTTGTTTAAGGTAAGTTTTAGAGTTACGTTTTTTCTTTTCCGTTTCTTCGTCCTTTCAAAATACGTGCGAAATGAAATCGTTATTTGTATAATTTTTCGATTCATCCCTTACCGCGACACGGGCGTACGAAAAGAACGAAATACAAGTAGACCGGTACGGAGAAAGTCGCGCTTGTCCACAATGGCATCTCAAAAAAACCAAAAGTCGGTTTTTTTAATATGCAAATGAGGTAGAGTTGACTCAGAAATTTACTTTTTTCTCTTACTTTTTTCTTTAATCCGATCGCATCAGCTTTCCTAATTTTGGGATGGAACCTCGTCAAAAATGATGTAAAAAATCATTGCGCTTTTTGAATTTTGAAAGGTGATACACTCCCACTTAACTCAAGTAGGTTTATAAGAACTTTTTAAAAATCATTGGTAACACCAGCTGTTTGGCATAGTGGTTGTGCTGCTGGACTACTAATCATGTTTGCTTCCCTCACTCACAGGTTTGAATCACGGTCACGCCACTGATTTTTCTAATGATGTCATGTTATTGTGTATGCTTTCAGATGCTAATATGTCACGAATAATACCTCTTCCAGGTGAAGAGACAAAGGAAGGCTAGAGGAATACAATGTAACACAAATTCAGATTACTTTATTTACTTTCTTTATTGGTCAACCAAATACTAAACCTTATCTTTTACATATCCCACTCAAAAGTCCCTTCTTTATTGCGTAGGCTCGGGTGGTCGCTCGTTACGGAAGTCCAATACTCAAGTCTCCGTCAACTTCTTTTTTCTATTCATGCTTACTACACGACATCAGATTATGAGTGATTACATAATATGTATGATTAAAAGAAGAAAAAAAAAGAAACCACTCACTCGTACTATGATGAAGTGAGATGCAATATTTAAAGGAGGGTGCAGTGGTCAGGAGCCTTTTTGTGGCATGGCAGCTAGGGTTCATTCCATGTCTACTTGAAGTTCCAGTCCAGATTTATCCTTCATTCTACACATGAAAAGATTTCTAACGATTCCCCTAATCTCCCCTAGAAAAGGCCATATTATCGAAAACTATTATAGTTTACAGGATAAAAGGGTTTTCGGGGCAAGGAGAAGGGCATGGGGAGTTTGGAGGCAGCAGTAGTTGTAGCAGAAGCAATTAATAGTTAATGGTAATAATAATACAAATAGCAGCAGTAAAAGGAGGAGGAAGGGGGAAAGGAAGGGGGGGGGGCGAAGGTGTCGTAAACTAAAGTAGGAGAAGGCGGGATTACAGGAAGAGGCAGACAAGAATGATGACAATATTATAGCCGAGCGCTATTATCATAATTTATTTTTATGTGAATGAAAAAAATAGAGAAACCGGTATATATCTACTATGGAGAAAAATATTTTCAGTGTTTCATTTGTTTTCGGGGCTTTTGGTTCTTAGATCTGTATTGAAGTATGCAGTTTATTCCAGACATGCTTTTTATTTGGCGCTCATATGACATTATGCAGTTGCGAGCGCCGTAAAACCTCTACTAAAACTAACAAGATAAGCTTCTAAACTAAATGTGTGTAATAACTGTTTACTGTTGGTTCATAATAGCACGGAGTTACTCTCTTCATTAATAGACAGTTGTACCTACATTCTCCTCGCAGGTTTTGAGTAGCAGAAGATAGAGTAACTCTATCGACCACATCCCTTTACACCATCTACATTCATCATAATCATCGTCGTCATCATCATCATCATCTCGGCTCAAGATGTCGGCTGAGTTCCCAGCTTATTTTCACTCAAATCTGAGGCAGCCACCAACTACACTGTGTTCAGTGCACGTAGATGAAAAGATGAAAGACTGGGAGAGGGTGAGTGAGTTTCTATTAGTTCAATTTATTGTTCATGCCTTTACTGAACATTATCACCATGGCGTACTTAGTAGCATGATAATGAAAGCATTTTGGTGACATCAGGCGCTTGTTGAAATAATGAAATCGAAGATACGGCGGACATTTATAAACCTTTTGGGTAATTTTTATTAATTATTGGATCTGTTTTTCGTGCTCAGCACTCTTTATACCCTTTTAAAACACAATTATTTATGTGTGCATTTTACCATAAAAAATGTTGATTAAAGGCTAAAAAATATCAGCTTAAATTTGCAATTTCCACTTACACCAAACTTTGAAAGTCTCCAAACTTTGGCGCCATTTTCTCGCTGATTTTATCAGGCGCCCCCCCCCCCCCCCCCAAAAAAAAAACAACAACAAACAAACAAAAAAACCCACATCTTTTAATCGTGAATATCACGACTTCTTCTATTCAAGATAAACGGGGTTTTTTTTTTCTTTAAATCCAAGGCCAGTGAACAGACTGTAAGACTGTGCGGTACCAACAAATCCAAAAGCCCCAAAATTGACTAACGCCTAATTCAACCTCGTTGTAGTACAAGCTAATGCGGTGTTTACACATACAGGAGAAGAATTGACGATGAATTCCCGATAAGATAATGCCAAATTCGGGTCTAATCGTGATGAGCATCTGGCCATGACTGTTGACATTATTGTGTCGGAGAGCACTCGGTGAGACGCTGGTCGAGCAATAATTTAGGACGGTGAGCATCTCGCCGAGCGTCTTGCCGAGCAATTAGTTTGACTCCTGGCCGCTTTGCAGAGCCAAGAAAGGTAGCGGCCGAGTAAAATTTCACACGATGACAAACTCGCCGATCATGCTAACCATCTTGCCAAGTTAGTCGGCGTGCAATGTTATAATAATATACAAAGAGGGTAGTAAAATGTTTGTGCTCTTTCCTTCAACATATCCCATATGACATAGACGATGTATGCGTACTTCATATATATATATAATATATATATATATATATATATATATATATATATATATATATATATATATATATATATATATATATATGGTGCCCTTGCTGTGGTGCTGGTGCAAGAAGGGGAGAAGAGGATGAAGAAAAGGTGGAGGACGACCTGTTGGGCTAGACCATGGCTCATAAGAACTTAGTGCTGTATGAGAAGCTGGTGGCTGAACTGTAGGTTGAAGATGTGGCATCCTTTAGGAACTTCCTCGGAGTTTCTCTAGAGCTCCTGGAGACAATTGGCCCTACCATCCCCAAGGCAAACACTGTCAACTTTTGCGCGCCGCGCTTGAGTAACTCAGACTTCTCGAGCAGGATTTTTTACACGAGGAGCAATAAGTTAACCCCCAGAGTATGAAATCTAACTCGGCTACCATTTAGATCTTGTCGGCGGGTCACTTTCACTCGGCAACGTTTGCAATTTTGCACGCTCAGCTATTTCGGACACTCTCCAAGTCCTCCCCGAGTTTTCCCCGAGCGAGTTATTGACTCGGCGACTCATTTTTCGCTCGGCGAAAATTTTAAACATGTTTTAAAATTTCGGTAAGCTTCCCGTGCAATAATTTCACACGACGAGCATGAAATATAACTCGGGGGACGTGAGGGGGGGGTCGGCGAAATGTATCCAGAGTATCCCAGACCTTCTGGGCTTAGAAATGTTGTCTTTCTCGGCTTCATTTCTCCTGTATGTGTGAATTTCCGGCTGCACTAGGATTCCCAGTTTGCCAAAACACGACGTCTTTCCTCGCAGTGGCACCCGATGGTGGTATGCGCCGCATACGTGAAGCATTGAGTCATTTTGAAAAGATCGTTAACAAAGAGGTGGAATACTCCCAGAAGAGACTGTTGTTGATCATTATATTAGTATCATAATGAAAGACATAATAAAAAACATTGTAGCACAACAAAATCTTCCTTCCACTCAAGGGTAAAATTCAAGAGAATAGCCCCCACTTGACCCAGTATGTTAAAGTTAAAGGATGTTCTCTTGACATGTAATACCAACTCAAGTACGCAATTGCAGATCACCGCGGTACCGCAATTTGATTATCAACGTAGGTAAATGAGCTTTACTATAAAACGCGTTGGAGTAGTCATAGTCTTGCTAGCAGTAGAAATCATCGAATCATTTCTCTGCAATGCCCACAGAGCGGTTACAGACGCGCACGTCAGGAAAGGCAACTGGTAGAGATGGCTTGTAGTTACTCGCCCTCCTCAGTGCTCATCAAATGGTGCGACAAGAGGAAGGGAGCGGATCCTCGCAGTTGCCCAGACAAACTGTTAGCCGATATTTCTCAAAAAATGTGAGTTTTCCCGAAGTGAAAAACGTAGAACTATGATTTTCGAGTTCGGTGAAATTTACAGATCAAGTTGAAAAGAGATAATAATAATAATAATAATAATAATAATAATAATAATAATAATAATAACAATAATAATAATAATCATCATCATCATCATCATAATAATAATAATAATAATAATAATAATAATAATAATAATAATAATGTAGATCATTACTATAGCGCCCACTCCCGATGAACACAGCTCTAGGCTCTTTACATATTAAATGCATGTACGAGCAATATTCACACATGCACGCACGTACACACACTCACACACACACATACACGCACACACATACACACACATAACACGCACACACGTGCACTCACATGCACGCCACACAAAGACACACACACACACACACACACACACACACACACACACACACACACACACACACACACACACATACCTACCTACTTGCTTATCACACGTGCACGCCATAAATCGTTACGTAATGAGCATTACAATGAATACGTAATAAAATAATATAAATCTCTACACAATGCAATTCGCATACATAAATGGATACATGGTCATTTACATAACATTGTATTGAACATGAATCCACTGACATAACAATGATTTCATTAAATGTGTCTTTAAAGATAATTTAAATTTAGACTCATATAGATGTTGTATGTCTCAAGGTTTGGGGAAGAGAGTTCCGAACTGATGGAGCAAGGGGGGCAAACGATCTTTTCAGATCCTTCTTTGCTTGTCCAAAAGTAAAACGATTAAGAAATATTCGTGTCACAAAGGAACAATGTCTGTGAAGTTCCCGTATGGTGTCGAACATATGTGAGGTTGAAATAAAATCCGTGAGGGCGGTTGGAGGGGGGGGGGGGGGAGAGGAAGAATGCCGAGGAATTGAGGGCTTTTTCGATTTTTGCAAGATGAAAGTGCTGTAAAGAGTTATGCTAAGCAATGATACTGTGCAATGTTCCACTTTATATATATCACAATGTTATGCTTCTAAAACAAATCCAAACAAACAGAATTAATTGCAACATGCCCGATTTGTAGCAGAAAGTTGGCATTTGAGACTCGAAAGCTAAAGTTAGTGTTTGTGCTACATGCACAGTGCAATATAGATGTTCTAATTTATTATTGTAATCAGCTAACAGTTAAAATGTACCAAGCCCAACATTTTTATTTCTTTTAATTGCAGTTTCTTAATATTAAGGTATCATGTTCAATAAATATTTTGTCAAACTTCAAAATCTGAATGTTGAGAAAAAAGTAAGAAAAAAGAAAGTGGGTAAAATTGTTAAAAGAATGGAACGGTTGTTGTTTTTTTTCTATCTTCTATAAAACTTTGCTTTCTGGGCTTGGTATATTTTAACAGGTTGCAAACAATATTTTATGCTTACTAATATTTATGGACACCTTTGCTGGCTGATATGACTTCGCAATAACTCTCTTGGTCATTCTGATCCCCCAGTAGACAATACGGCTTTGCATTCTGTTAGGCTCCTGCCGATATCAAATCTACTAATTCTTCGTCAATTACCAATTATTGATACCTATTCGGGGAGTTGGAGTTGGCTGAGGAAACAAGAGAAAAGTACCTTTCCTAAAGTACAGACGTCCTTCCGGAGATAAAGTACAACTTCTTAAAATCTCAAGTCGGAAGCCTAACCACTCGACTAGCACCTCCTTTTCTACCAACAATCTAATACCGTTTAGAAGCTAAAAAAAATAAAGGCACATGCTTGATATAAATATCACGATACCTCCTGGACCTGGACCAGTCTGAAATTGAAGGGACCCTCATTTTCCAAAGGGGTTCTGGGTCAAAGGATCAAGTTTTAATCTTTAAGATCTTTTTACCTAATTTTATGTAAGACTTTTTCTCAGAAACCAAGCGACATCTTAAGTTGCTTGGTTTTAATCTTTAAAAATAAAAAAGAATTTTTCGTAATTCCAAACACCTCATTAACTGCGTCGAAATCTTCCACACGATTCATTCACATACGGCGCCCCCCCCCCCCTTCCCCTTTCTTTTCCAACTCCCTTTCTCCACTATTCTCATTTACCTACTTTAAGAGACAAAAGCGTCCTTAATACCGAAGCCGACCCTGAATTACAGTCACGAGTGATTGGTGACATTCATCGTCCTTATCTCTCCTCCCTTTTTGTGTTTGTTGTCACTCTTTTGTTACACCTCATGAACTCAAATCTTCAGCACTTATATGTCCTTATTATATTCCAAATAACCTAAAACTCTCACTGAAACTAAATAAGTTACAGTTGCCAACTTTTATCTTCTTTTGCCAATTCCAGGGAAATTTCAAAACAGAGAGGAGTCCGTACGTTGTGAACGGCGTACCAATCTCCCGCTCGGTAGAGGGTTGTTGTATCAAGGACCCCTGCTCGTGCCGATCTGACGTCATCTTCTACAACGGTCAAGCCTACGACCAGAAGCCATATGTAAGAACACTCATTTCTGCGAAACAAAACACACAAAAACAAAATTATCATCTTTGTCTATCCCCGCGGTTTTGCGCACCCCGCTTAATTTAACAAAATTATATCATTTTTTCTATAATTTCTGAATATTTTCCTTGATCTTTCTTTGTTAGAATTAACAGAATCGCCTAATTTCACATTTTTGAGCTCAGTTTGCAAAATGTCAAAATTGTTCTTGCATAAAACAACGGGGACAGCTTTGTATGATTTCAGTTACTTTTTCCGGTTTCGATATTGTTGAAAGCACCCTAAAATTTAAACTCACGTATTATCTATGAAGAGGGGGAAACCATTACTTTTGTCCCCGGGGTTTTATGCAGCCCGCAAAATTTAATCTTTTTATTGGGGAGGGGGGGGGCATAATTTCTGATTATTTACCTTTATCATTCTTTGTTAAAATTAACAGAATCGCATAATTTCACATTTTTGGGCTCAGTTTGCATAATTTCAGACTTTTTTTGCTTAAAACCGCGGGGACAGTTACTCTAACCAAGTTGTTCTATTTCTATAGGACGGAGTCACTATCATATTACTCTTAAAATCCATTTCAGCGCACAGAGATCGGCCGTGGAATTTCCAGATTGGGAGAGAGCGTTTTTACATGCGTTATACAACTATTCCAGAAACAACACTCTGTGAGATCAGTAAAATAGTACTAAACAGAATATAAAAAGAGCCACCCTTCCCCCCCCCCCCACAAAAAAAAACCTCAACACGCCCAACCAACAACAATTTTAAAAAAGCAAGTCTTCCGCGTTTTCGGAGCCGAATCGAGGAGTAAATTGCTTGTTTGGATCACAATAACGTCAGAATTTCAAACCTGTAGTGAACAGATATTTTCTACAAATCAATCACCCTTTCACATATCTCAGTCTGTCTTCGAGAAACGATGCTTTTCAGTAATCCCGGACAATATTTCTGGACACCTTCATATCTTTTTTGTCCTTTCCTCCCATTTAGGTTCAGCATTTCCCTCTCAAGTTGTGTGACATCGTGGTGCAATCAGAAGCTCATTAAAATAATATAATCAAAGAAACTGGTATTTCCTCTCCATGGGCAATTCTTACCACTTTTTTTCCTAACATATTATTTTTATTAGGTAATGTCATTTTAATTAAAAAAACGTATTTCTGTGGGGGATTTACTGGTACATATTGCTAAAAGGCACAAAAAAATGTTAATTTGCAATTACCACATTTTCTGGCTAATTTTACCTCTGACACATGGCAATCCCCACCTCTTTCAATTGCAAATGTCTCGACTTCTATTCAAGATCGATGGGTACTCTTTGACCCAAAGCCCAAAGCAAGTTAAATAAATAGGCTGTGTGATGAAACTAATAAAACTCCATGTGCCCCAAAACTGACGATCTTCTGATTCCACGACGGTGGCATACAGTTATCTCCCCTGTTGTTCACATCTTTTCTGTGCTACCATGTTGCCTCCTTCAGACGGGGGTTGGAGCATCCAAGCAAAGAAATGAATGGAGAACCATGATCGCCGATGTCTATTATGCAGATTATCTGGTACTTGGCGATGATGATGATCTCCTTATCACTCTTGCAATTCGTTTTAAGGAACTAAACTAAAATTTGATAGAGGAATTAACTATCATACAGTAGTTGTTTATGTACCCGTAAATCTTTGGCCGCTTGCAGTGCAATTGTAAATAAATACGAACATTATTCATTTATAGATTGAATGCCATCTCCGCACCAGACCTGGAGACGTAATGTATCTGGAGGGAAAACTCATTCCGCCTTTCGTAAGTTTCTTGACCACGATATCGATATTGGAACGCGTATATATTTTATTTGATAAACATAATAAATATATAATATAAATAAAGAATATTGTTTAGATTTATCAATTCCTTAAATAACTACGCTAATCTCTTCAATCTCATGGTAAAACATTGCAAAACATGGGCATGAATGCTCCCTACCCCTATCCCGGTCTGCTTAGTATTTTTAAATTCGAACTGAGTGATGTTCTGTTCCCGATTTTCCTGTTCTGCATATCACTTTCTAACTAAATCAAGAACAGAAAGAGCATCAACAACAATTAGAACCCGCAACAAAGTCAATTAAGTGGCATAATATTGTGTTGCAAGTTTACGTTGACGACGATGTTATGACGTTGAAAGTTTACAAACTTTACAGTCTCAGAAAGTGAGAGCGGTATCACACGATAGTTTCACAGCAACATGACAATAGCAATACAACAGTCTCATTGTGTAGCAATCTTGGAAATAGGCGATTCAATAGCTTGGGGATCTCTCACCATGTGGATCAGACAACGCAAAATTCTTCGAAGAAAGCGGTATAGCAACAACACTATCAAACAACACGACAATACATGTAGTAATAGCGCAAAGTGGCACTTGTGTCTGGGGTGCAGGTGTTGAGCACTCCACAGTCGCACACAGAAGACGAGAGTTCGATTCCCGTGTGGGGAGACATTTTGATAGAATATATCCATTCCCTGTCCATCTGCAGTGACCCTCCCAATCCAGGTTGGCCCTGATAGACAGGCAGGATTGAAGCAGCCTGCCTCCAGAATGATCTAATTTGTGTTGATGGATGCGCAAACCATCAAATATAACTTACCAACTGACACCTCGTCAAGATTACGAAATGTATTACACTACTAATACACTGCACTGTAACTCCACAGAATCCTGGCAAATCCATTTCAAGATTTGGAGCTTACAGATCTCGGGGGAAACCTCCTCAGGTGAGCATGGTTGCTGTGTCCTCTGTTTCAGCTTTAATGAAAGACAAAAAACCCAAAGCTCCCATTTGAAAAAAACAACAACTTGAAAACTAGTTTAGATTTTGTTACGGTGCAACCTTTCCAAGTTCGTGTGGAACAGTGCAAGGCTAAGTTGTCTTCTTGTGTTCTGAGGTTCTATTTTTCGTTTGTTTGTTTGTCTGGGTTTTTGTTTGTTTGTTATTTTGCTTTATTTTAGGGGGGCTTTTGTAACATAGGGGACTTACTACACGTAACTAAAAGACAGTATTTACGATTAAATGTCTGTTAACATGATATGGCCAAATGAACAGAGACTTAAGAAAATTCATTGCTTTAGCAACCCGAAAAAAAGACGACTTTTTAAAGGATGGAGGAGAGGGGGTTTAGTGTCTGGATTGAAAACATTGCAGCGCATCACGATATCCCCCACACGGTAACAATGCCCATTCCTTGCATTCTCTTGTAGCTTGTCATGTCTTCTCGGGACTAGTGAGCCCAGTATTGAAATCTAAATCAACGCCCTCTCGTGCACACAATCAGATTCTTATGAAAATGAAACAGTTCTGTTGGCTACTCACTAGTATTAAGTAGAGTCCCACGATGAAATGACGCAGTTTATATAATGTGAAAAAAGCTGAGGATCATCACAGAAGCTTGAATTTAACCTTGTTGGTCAGTCAACGTAACAACCATTGAGGTCACTTATGTGGAACTGTTTCTTTGGCTTGTATGGCAAGATGTAATAATAATAATAATAATAATAATAATAATAATAATAATAATAATAATAATAATAATAATAATTAGTAATAAAGCATTCTGATATACATGTACATTTGTACAGTAGTCTCCGCCTAAACGCACGCCATACAAAAGCACGCTCCGCTCAAACGCACGCTTTCGTCATCAGGCGATTTTTTTTTACTATATAATTTAGACGTACAAACGCACGGTCACTCCCTCTAAACGCACGCTCCGATCCGCGAAACACGCCGACAAGTTAAGCTTGGCAAGGGGAAATTTCCACTACAACCTGCACAGCCTGCATAAGACAAGTCTAGAATTTACTAGAAAAACCGGATATTTGGTGAGAGTGCCCCTCACACCGTACAAAGAGAGTGATGGACAGCGTTTACACACCCTACTTTTCACTGACGCATAGGTCTCGGTCTAGGGCTGGTCGGTTAAATGTGTGTGTGTGGGGGGGGGGGGGGGAGACTGAAATGTTTTTTGATTGGTCACTGGAAATGTATCTTTGATAGAAGGTTTCTGACTGGTGTTTGAGTTTGAGTGACTGCGTATAATGTTTTGTTAGATCTAGGCCTGATGCGCGACATGCGTAAAAAGTGCCGCAAAACACGAGACAGACCCCTATAGGATTAAAGATTAGCCAAATAAGCCTAATAAGCTGCGCTCGAAGAAGTTATACGGTACTTGTTCGGTGAATCACAAGAGAAAATGTTTCTCGAGGATGATTCTGCATGAATTTACGGTCGGGCGTGGTCGCTTGGAAAACCACGTTGCTGGTCTGTCGTCTCTATGACTAGATCTATATCTCCAACAGTTTCCTCTTAGGCTATCTGATCCCGACGTTTATAGTGCAGATTCATTACATTGAGTTTGTCTTTCTCTCCCCACCCCATTCAACGCCGTTGTATTCTTAACCCCTGTCGGGGAATCCTTCACAAAACAGTCTGATGTCGTCACCCGCCAAAATGACCCCCTTCTTCAAGGGAGATCACTAGAGTAATAACGACGAATTGAGATGACTGCGTCCATTCCTCCCCTTGTTAAAGTTCATGTAAACGCACGCTCCGTATAAACACACGCTAAGGAGCCCTCCCGAGCACCGTGCGTTTAGGCGGAGACTACTGTAGTATAATATGGTACGATACTGGATTGAGACTGACGCCCCCCCCCCACCCCACCCCCCACTTTTATACCCAAATTTGGCTATCTTCTCATTAGAGCCAATGCTTCAACAACACCAAGTTTGGCCGGGGACTACACCCCTGCTGTACGGCCTCCAAGTACAACGATTCAGTGCCACCTTACCACAACACACACAACCAAGCCTTTACAAGAGAGGGTCTTCCTTACGGGGAGACATTGGGCTTCTTCAGGTTCAAACCAGTAAGTTCAAACCAATCAGTTCAAACCAAATTAGGGTAACATATTTCTTTACAATAGTGCACGCTATAACGTTTACCTTGCCCCCCTTGAACCATGAATAAAAGCAGATACTTCACTCTCTTTTTCTTGGCGTTCCTCTGCTCCAACACATGGATACATGGATAGTCTGTGGTGTAGTGGTTCGAATTCCATGTGAGGAAGATTTTTTAATCGAGTATCTTTACTTTTTTGGTGGGACGTTAGATCCCTCTCAGCCGAATTGGCCTTGACATGCTGGGTCGAGGCTTGCCATCAAAAGTGATCAAAATTGTGTCAATGGGAGCGTAAAACACAATTATATTCATGTACTTTAAAAGAAATGTATTAAAAGAGCTAGAATCCGAGACCTTCAGATTACAAGGCAGGAGTTGTACCCACTGCAAGGACGCCACACTGCTAAACAAACATAACGACAACGTCAAACAATCTTTCTTTTAAAAATGAAAGTGAAAAAGAAATAAAATAAAGCAACGAAAATACAGCCAAGCACAGATACCATGAACCCAGAAAACTCGAAATCACGGATAACTCATGGAATTTGCCATTCCCTGACTGGTATCTCTTTAATATTTCCTCATCAGTATACCAAGTATAACAGTTGTGTCGAACACATTTGCCATTTCCCGACGTGTTTGAGTTATCAGTACCTGGCTGTAATCCTTAATTTTTGTTGCTTTCTTTAAATCTCAGACCAAGATCTGCGACTGCCGGCCCGTGCCGGTCCAGAGGCTGGGTGAGTGCTGTACATGTGAGCCAGGAGAGTACAACCCCGCCCAGTACGTGCAAGACGACTGCCCACCCCGCCCATGCTGTTGCTGACCTCGCCCACATTCAGATGCACAGCCCGCCCATGCTACTGTTGACCACGCCCACATTCAGATGTACAGCCCCGCCCATGCTGCTGTTGACCACACCCACATTCAGATGTACAGCCCCGCCCAAAGTTCAACTGGCCACGCCCACATACTGACCGTCCATTACAACCACCCATTGGTGTGTCGATTCTGCTGTTGACCACGCCCATCCACAAAGATGATGTCCCGCCCACGTGGTTGTAGGCCACAACCACTCGATATCACTTTCTGAGCAGCCAAACAAGGAATTATAGTTTCCAGAAGAAAAAAAAGCTATGCTTGTGACCAATCCAGCCCATTTCATTCGTGACCAGACCCAAGAGTTGGCAAAACCATTTCATACACTGGGCAAATAAACATAATTCTGTATTAGCAAAACTCTCAACATTAAACTCCTTACAGTTTAAGCTTCCTCTGGTTGACATTATAAACAATATCAAATTTTTGCCAGCCGCTCAATAAAAGAATACAACAGGCATGTGCGGAAAAATGGATCCGAAACTCGAGTACACCACCAACAACTCCCCCCACCCCCCAAAAAACCCCAAAACCAAAAAAAAACCAAACAGGTGTGCTTGTACATTTCTAGACTTACCTGTCCCCACGGTTTTATGCCAAAAACATTTTGAAAATATGCAAACTGAGCCCAAAAATGTGAAATTAGGCGGTTCTGTGTTAATTTTAACTATGATAAAGGAAAATAATCAGAAATTATGCAAAAATGATCAAATTTTGCTAAATTATGCCGGGTGCATAAAATCACCAGGACAGATTTACGAAGAGGAACCCTGTAACAGCAGTTTCCTATTAAATAGGTCACCAGCACAAAGTTGCCAAAGAACAGAATTGCGGTGTCTCTAACCCAGTGGTTAGGTTAAGCTACCAGACCCATAATTGATTGTGAGATTGCATGTCCAGGGGTTCCAGCCTCAGCTCTTTCCGACGTTGTGTCCTTGGGAAAGACACTTTAACTTTAAACAAATTTTCAATTTGGCTCGGTCCTTTGGGAGATGGATGTTAAACTCAGAGGTTCCGTCTCTCTAATAATAGTGTTGGAAGATGTGTTAAACCTCAACCATTTCACCATTTTTGGAAAAGAACAGAAAAATACCCACAATGAGTCTTATATAATGTGTATTTATTCAACAAAACTTGTCAACATTTAAGTGTGTCACAAAACACATCGGAATGCTCAGCTGTACAGATATATGGAAACACAGTATCTCTTGTAACCTAAAATCTTATATTTACATATTAATCTGTTTTATCAGCCGGTGGGAGATTCTTAATTCAAGTAAGATTCAATCAAATTTCAAAAAGCCAAAAGCATGCATAGAGGAAATGTCATTCATTGAAGAAAAAAAACACTCTGAGATACAAAGACAGACACATAAGTATATACCAACTACTCCTTACCTTTTTATCCATCATCCATCAACCTATCTATGTCTATACAATGTAATACAAACTAAGCTATTTACCAACCCATCAACAACTCTATCTATGTATCTGCCTACCTACCTACACATCTATTTATTACCTTCTCCTCTACCTGCCAGTCTATCTATTTAACTGCCTTTCTATCTATTTGTCTGTCCAATTCTCTATCTATCCACCCATCCATCCATCCGTCTATCCAAGAACCGACCGCTATTTACATTGCCATAGCAGCAACATTATCATCTTCAAGTTTTATCGTAACATGTTAAACATGTTTCCAACAGACCAGAAAGCTAAAAAGTACATTGTTTTGTTTGTTTTTTTTCCCCTGGGAAAATTATTTTTGCAGTACCAGGCAAAAGATAGGGCCTTATTTTGTTAGAGAGGGGAAGGGTTGTAAAAAAAAAAAATTGCCTACGAATTATTTCCACATGTATCCTGTATACAAATTGGAAAACATAATACATATACGCAGAATAAGTATCCATGGCATTATGAAGAAAGTATTCAAAATTAGCACCAAGCAACAGAGTAGATTTCGCCTTATAACTCAAATAACTGAAAGAATATAAAATACAAAATACAAACTAGCTTTCTTGCCCAAATGTGTAGCCCAAAATGGCGAAAGGCAGAGGACTACCCAAACCAGAAAGTGCAAGCCATAAGTCCCTAAAACTGTTTCCAGGTGGTCCACCAGTTCCAAAAAGACACAGGTAGGAATTTTACATCCACTGGACATTTCAAATAAAATGTACATTAATGTAAAATAATAAAAGACATAGGCCTACTTTGACCACATACGCCTTCAAAAAGAGAAAAAATGAACAATATGCACGACTGCTCTTTACTCTCCCTCACTCATCTTTGAACTATATAGAGGGGTCATTCCATCCACACTCTTTCAATCATCAAATACATCAACTTTGAAATGGAAAAGAATTCAAAGCTATACAAATTGCAAACTTTCAATCTTTTAAAATGGCAAAAGTAAGGTATATTAAAGCACAAGTGCAGTGCAGAGCACAATAAGGTGACTGCAGCACAAAAATCAGTAGTATAAAAGCATATGAATGAACACATTAGAAAAGAATATTGACTGTACTCGTACTATTGACACACATGGAATTTTAAAACAAATTTGTCTGCGTGCTCATCAACCATATAACAGGTATACCTGAGTGGTACATGTATAATCAGGCACTGAAGAAAGGGCATAAAGAAACCTTCAAGGTGCCTCCAAAGACAGCCACTATCAAGACATGTTCTTTGTTTGGCAGGATTATTCTCTTGACTCTAAATGCTTTACTTATCCACTGACACACACGATAAACATCATTCAGGAGCCAGAGTACTTTGAACCTGCCTGTCAAGGTCATCCCGAGCTGAGTGGGATACAACACTCCAACAGAAAGCTGGAGATACTCCATAATTAATATCGCCTTCTGTATGTGGGAATCGACCTCACACCTTTTGCGTAATAGAATGGGGAAAAAGCCAAGCCATTGCACAACAGACATCAGTCAACAATTTTCCACCTCGTAACATTTTTTTTTTAAATAGAAGATTTGTTAAGTCTCATACAGCCTACAAATATGGCTTTGTACTCTTTTCAACATTTTAATAATACTGCTTTCAGTTCAGTTTTCTATCACACATCATAATCACTAAGAGCCAACTGAGGAGCTGGAAGATGATTTGGAATGGGGAGACTTTGGTTCCATCTCTTTGAGTGCAATGGAAGACTTCCTTCGGGCGATCTCTTTTTTCAGCCTGCAAAAACAAATAAATTTATACATAAATTACATTACTATCAATACCAATCTCTACACTACAGGTTTCCTCATTGACAGCATGGTATAAAGAGATTAAGTAAGAAGACATTCACAGAAAAAAACCTCAAGAAATTTCTCAAATCTACACACACCTAAAAAAAGTAAATGCAAACTACAGAAAGTCTGAGAAAGAGTTGACCCTGTGCCTCCTTATGCTTGTATTAGTTCAAATCATATAAATTTATATACAAGCATACAGTTTTTAAAAATAAAAATCTAAGAAAAAAATTGAAATGAAAAAAAAATGAACGCAAACTAAAAGTCAAGGATAATGGCATAAATGATAACTATTCACGTGTATTTGCAGGATGCCCTTTATCAACCGATATTTCCGGTATTTTTTAGTTACAAACTATGGGAAGCAGCGAGCCAATAGTTGACACACTTGTTTCGTTTCATTAAAAATTTAGTGAAGTTATGAGCGAAACTTTTTGAGCTGTAACGAAGTAAGTCAGCCCCCCAAGAATTGTGATAGATGATTTAATAATAAATTGGGCGCAAAAAAAATTGCGTTACCCGCAGACATAGCCATTTCAAAATAATTGATAAAATTCAAACTATTTGGACAAATTACATGCAGTTCTCTTTTTCTTTGAGAGCATTTCTTTCTTTCTCTTGATGCATTTTAAAATTATGATAACTTTAAATAAATAATAATAATAATAGCATTTGTATAGCGCAAATCCCCGCTCAACAGCAAGCTCTATGCGCTTCACAATCTATACTATTACCCCAGCAGACCTGATCACATTCTGAAACAAAATTAACTTCCTGGGAAGCATACAGTGCAAGCAGCCATTTATAGGCGCTAAAACACTACCATACTAACAAGATCTTTCGCTGTCTATGGCTGGGTACCCATTTCTACCTAGGTGAAGTGAGGAAAATACGTGTAGTGTGCCTTTCCCAAGGACACAACGTCGGGCCCGAGGCTTGAACCCCCGATCCCGCAACCTCACGATTACGAGTCCGGTAGCCTAACCACATTATCACGACTCGCGACATCAGCAGGCCTGTCTCCTCTCCCAGCCGTCATTTGTGTCATGACGCAGTGAAATCAGGCACTCGTCAAAGCAATGAAAGTAAAGAAACAGGCACTCTTCAGCAGGTATGGGAATCTCTATCGAATTCTTGTCCTCTGACTCAACACCTCTCATGCCCTTTAAAAAACATTTCTGTGTGGATTCCACTGGGAAAACGCTGATTAAAGGCCAAAAAAAAGTAAATTTTCAGTCTCTACAGACTCTCAAGCTGAGGAAATAAACCAACTTTGGGTGCCATTTTCTCGCTAATCATATGCTCTAAAATTAATTTTTCGTCATGTAAAGTTATTGGTATCATCTTAAGACTTACTTTCATAGTCTTTTCGTGGTTAACGCTTCAATATACCCCAAAAGTGTCTGGCTGCAATGGTTGTTCGGTGAAAAATAGCTCAGGCTCAAGTGAGTTAAGGTTTTCTCTTTAAGAAAGTAAAAACCATTTTCAGGGAGCCTACTTCGACCAAAATCACTTCTTTACATGAACACAATGAGCAGTTCCAATTTGGCAATAACCTCTCAGAAATAAAATGACATTTTGTAACTTGTAATTGCAATTGTAAAAGAAGAGCTTTTACACCCCCATCGACACAATAAATCATTTAGAAGGAGTATTGCTTCCATTTTGCCAAAAATGGAGATACAGTCAAAACTGTCTAAGAAGACTGTCTCCCATTCAATGTCCAGAAGAAAAGTGGCCCTCTTGCTTAGTGTCATTATAGTTTAGTTTTAGTTTTTGTAGAGGTTTTACGCTGCTCGCAACTGCATAAGGTCTTATGAGCCCCAGAAGATTACAGTATTTACAGGTGTTACAAGAGAGTAACAAACATGAAAAAGAAGAAGGGGAGATAAGGACGATAGATGTTTGATTGATAGGAAAGAAGAAGCAAACCATATTAGAGCACCCGCCAACCACCCTCAGTGTCATTACAATACAAAAACTAAAACAATAAACGAAGAAGAAAATGGATAGTGGTCATTGGTACAGATGATTGTCCAATGCAATTACAAGGCGGTCATTAGAGTTCGAACAGGTTTGACTAAGTACTTGATAAAACCTTCCCCACTCCAGTGAATCTATTTGTATCTTCTGCATGCAACAGCAAAGAGCCTAACAATTACACTATGAACCTGTGTTTTGAAACTGAAGATCAACATAGGGTACAAGTACACACACAAGCACTGGAAAGATAGGTTTTAAAATATAACTGTGAGTGTGTGTGTGTGGGGGGGGGGGGGGGGCATTCCAATGTAAAATCACTGATTAAGCTCAAGCCCAGTAAGTATTTAAAACAATGCACATGACGACCTACCCGTCTACAATGTTCTGACATCTGTTGTTTGATTCATACCTTGACAGGTTAGCTATTTCCGAGGTGGTGTACTGTGGTAGGAAAAAAATAACAAAGTGCTAAAGAAAATGATCTGGTACAAGACAAAAAACTGTTCAGAAATAATATACAGTCACTGTCCACAGGAAAATAATACTCTCTGATTATCTAATAGTGAAAATAGTGTCCTCTGATTATCCACAAAAACAAAGTCCATCCTATACAGTAGTCTCCGCATAAACGCATGATTCTGGGGAGGGCTCCTTAGCGTGTGTTTATACGGAGCATGTGTTTACATGAACCTTTGCAAAGGGAAGAAGGGACGCCTTGATATTCTAGTGACCCCCCTTGGGGATGGGCATGGCTGAAGGACAGACTCGAACTCGATGTAATGATACGCACCATAAAATGTCTGGAACAGATAGCCTAAGAGGAAACTGTTGGTGATAGTCATAGAGATGACGGCCCAGCCAAGTGGCCTCCCAAGCGACCACCCCAGACCATAAATTCATGGACGACATCAAAAGCATAGATCTCTACATTCAAAGAAACATTTCTCTTGTGATTCGTTGAACAAGCACATTATAAGTTCTTTGAGCGCAGCTGATTAGGCTTACTTAATTAATCTTTAATCCTATAGAGGCCTATCTCTAGTGCTTTACAGCATTCACAAGTGAAGCGCATCATAGACTTAAGTCTAACTAAACATTACATGCGGTCACCCAAACATGAGTGGGAAACCTTCTCTCAAAGATGCATTTCCAGTGACCAATCAAAAAACATTTCAGTCCCCCAACCCCCAACATTTCACCGACCAGTCCTAGACCTATGTGTTCTTGGAAAGTCGGGGGTGAAAACACTGCTTTGTTCGACGTGAGGGGCACTCTCACCAAATATCTGGTTTTCTAGGCTTGTCTTGCAAGCTGTGTAGGCTGTAGAGAAAGTTTCCCTTGTCAAGCTTGGCCTGTCGACATGTTTCGTGGATCGGAGCGTGCGTTTAGAGGAAGTGACCGTGTGTTTGTACGTCTAAATCATATAGTTAAAAACTCGTCATATGACGCAAGCGTGCGTTTGGGCAAGCATGCTTTTGAATGGCGTGCGTTTAGGCGGAGACCACAGTATTACAGAAGATGAGTTCAAGTCTTGAGTTATGTTTTTACTTAAGTTCAATCTTACAATACAGGCGACGATGCATTGCAAGTGTCCCTTTCTGTTTTTGGCAGTTTCGCATTGTCAGTGTGTGCAAATATGTGTGTGTCACAGCGGTTATAGAGCGCCCATTTAGTTTTGGCTGGCGCGAGGCAAGCAAGCCCGCGCTTCCCCAGGTCATGGGGTCATTTACCTGCGCCGCCGGGGATTTCCCTAATCAGCCGAACACCGGCAGCGCTCTTGTATTTTTTGCAAAGTTTACCAGCACAGTGAGCCAAAGCTAATGTAAGATGAATATTTTAATAAAGACCACGTAAATATTCAACATATTAAGGAAGAAAATGAAGAAATCGGAAGAACATGGTACATTACACTTAAAAGCTGTGAAGTTCTCAAAAAGGGGACTTAATTTGATAAATGTGTCATGGGTAATCAATTATAAACATCGATTTAAATATGATTGCCCCCAACGAATTCAATCAAATTTGCACACAGGACTGAGAACATAATGAAATTTGTACTGACAAAGGGGCATATGCACGAAGTTTCTGGATCCGTAATTATTCAGGTTTGAAGTTGATTTTTGCAATACTCTTGCTTTGCGACCTTGTTTTTTCATAGCGATATCCACGATACATGTAACTACAGAACAGATCTTTTCTTGCCGATACACTTATGAAAACACAACCTAAACACAAAATACAAAAAGAACACAATATTGCTGGACTGGAGGAATTATCTCATTTTTCCGCTGTAAGCTTTCGTCTTTTGATGGGTGGTGCACACGACAGAGTAGCTCAGGGTGGGTTGGACGTGTTGTGACTGCATCATTGTTTTGACGTGTTTTTCTTTGTCTGTTAGGCCACGGTTGCATGAATGAGCTCACCCCCTTGCTCACCATGGAAGGCCATTCCAAACCCACATTTTTGTATCCAAGGAACGCAGGATGTGTTGTTTGGGGATGACCTTTTCTTTTGATCGATTTTGATTGAGTAGCACGTGTTTTACGGCACTATCGACTCAAGACCTTTTATTTGCCAAATATGTTTCTGTATAAAGACATATATCGTGTGATGCATGACTGAATATGTGGTATTCTCTCTAAAGTGATTGGCTTTCCATGTGCAATTACTGTGTGGATATCTTTGAAGGTGTCTTTTACGTGAACAAATTTCTCTCTCAGAACAATTAATGCGGTGTCTATTATGCTTTGATTTCGTGTACATGCAACTGTTCCTTTTGCTAAAAATGATGCTAGCTGTCTGTACACATGGGCTGTGATGTATTTTTGGCAGTGGCTTCCTATAAATGAACGGCTGTGGTAGGCCTGTGGTGTGATGTTGTGTTGTTTGAGGATGTTATCAAATTCAGAGCAGGCAGGACTTGACCTTGGAATAAGCTCCTCAAACTCTAACTCTGACAGCTGATCATGTACACTAGAACCCTTCCTCTCAAATCTCTCTGCTTCTCGTGGATTATCCGACAAAATCTGACAGCCCTGTAACAATTGAATGTCCTCGTTTTTTTCCAGCCCTCTTTCATTTTTTGCCGTAGATATGCACATTTTGTCCTATTCCAGGCGTGCAATTCTCCATAGATTGATGGGCCAGCTGTACATCTATATCATGTGCCAGCTGTACATCTATATCATGGACCAGCTGTACATCTATATCATGGACCAGCTGTACATCTATATCATGTGCAGCCTCCTCAAGAAGGCGATGATGTTTGAGCACAATGCCCACCATATGATCATGTTGAGTGTGGCTCTCCATGACAAAAATATTGTTAAAATTGACAACGAAATTCAGATGTAGTAGAGGCAAGAAAACTAAAAACAGCAAGGATGAATGTTCAGAGTGGTGGGTTGGTATTTTTAAAAAATCACAGAAAATCATAGAATAACTTCGTGCATTTGAAACTTGCACATGTAAATGAAAATTGTCCCCACAGTTGATACATGAATTTCTGTTTAAATCGTTGGGGGCCGGATTGATATATCTAAATCCAAACTGAAAAAGTTCTAAACATTGAAGATGCCAGTTTGAAAATCACAGACTTACTTAAATCCCTTGTAAAACTGATATAATCGGACTTACAAGAAAACAAGTTATACCGGCCTACAGGTCAAACATAGCACGTTACAATGAAATCTCAATCGGCCTTGTAGCATTTATAGTTTCAGAGTTAGGAGACTTTCAATTCGCACTAAAACGCCATATTTACTACTGCCCCGGCACAGGAGGAGTGACGCTGCGGTCACCCCAATTAACCCCTCTGACAAGTGATTTATGACTATGCGCTGGGCTGTCGGGCGGGGCGGGCAGGGTGGTGAGGATGGTCGGGGAGGAACTGGGGAAGGAAAACTAAGTGAGCGGTCTGGACGGTATTTTATCCGCTGTGGTGTGTGTGTGTGTGCGTGTGTGTGTTTGTGTGTGTGAGTGTGTGTGCGCATGAGTGGGTTTTTTTGGTGTTCCCCCCACCCTTTTTTTTTGGAATTGTACACGTATATGGGGGCGGCGTGCTTGTGCTAGCTGTATGTGTATGTGCATGCACGAACAAAAGTCTTGACTCCAGTCAAGGAAGTTCCAAACGGAGATTAATGTTTAAGGCAACTGAGAAACAAACCAGCCATAAGTAGAACAACAAGAAAGCCAAGCCAGCACATGTGCATCCAAAACCATAACTGATTTACTTCCTTCATTTATTTTTTTTTTAACCCTAAAGCCTAAAGGGTCAAAAACATTTTAACACATCAGAAAACAATCTTGAGTTTGAAATCAACAAATACACTGTCACTAAACAAAGCAACAACAAACAAAACAATAAAAAGTAGAAAGAAAAAAAAGGAAGTTAACAAACAAGAGTGAGATTTATGCCCAGTGCACACTATCAATCCAATTCAGTTGAACTGAGTCGGGCCAGCTCGATTTTTTTCACTATGGAGGGGCAAAAAGTACCATTTTGACACAATTTTATAAAAATTTCCAAATTCAAACACAGAATCTAGGTCTAGTTGTTTTTGGAGGATATAATCAAATTGTGGAAATAAAGGCAGTTTACGCAATTCCTTGAAGGAAAATCCTGGATGGCCTCAACTATGCCAAAGAGTCAAATGAGCCATCGTGCACTCAATATTACCTGAATCAGACTTGCTTGACGCCGGAAGTAGATCTTCCCCTCCTCGTCTGCGTGGATAGGGTGGAGGTTGAGGAGGGAACCCAGACCTCCCGTGGCCTCCCCGTCTGGTTCCCAAGGCAAGATTTTGTACTCGATGACGTAGTCAGAGATGAGTATACCCTGTTTGGGCAGGGGGTGGGGAGGTGGCATATATTTATTGGGTATTTAAGAATAATTATTAAATAATTTAAATATTTATTACGCTCAAACATAATTAGTAGATTTATATATATATATATTTTTTTTTTAATGTTCCTGATTTTTTTAAAATCATCCATTTTGTAGCACCAAGCGATAATCTAAACTCAAGAACTCACAGATAGTATGGGCACATAATTTAATTTCTGCTAACCAATTGCAGCAAGTAGAGCAATAAAAGTTATCTTTGTTTCAGAGAGCAGGATTAGTTACAGGCCTTTTCATTGCAGTTGTAACACTGTTGTATCTTTCTTATCTCCTTCTCTATGATAACATCAATCCACGCCAATAAGGGTTGTCCGTCAGTTCCAGACTTTTGGAGGATTTAACTCATTTGAGCCTATTCCAATTTATTTACACAATGCCCCGCTGGCCCGTGCCCTAATCCCATGTATTTATAGAACGCTCTTTATTGATCAATATCTCCGTTGTTTTTTTGTTACAAGCCACGCGAAGCAACGGGCCAACAGTTCAACAACTTATTTCGTTTCGTAAAAAATTTTGTGAGGTTATATGCGATACTTTTTTAGCTGCACCGGATTAAGCCAGTCATTCCCGCACAGCGATAAATGATTTGATTATAAATTGGGCCAAAAAAAAAATTGCTTTACCCCCAGACATTGCCATTTCAAAATATTGATAAAATAAAAACTATTTGGACAAATTAGATGCAGTTTTCTTTTTCTTTTTCTGTGAGAGTATTTCTTTCTTTCTTTAGTTGCATAAAAAAAAAAATTAAGACAGTTTTCAATCTTTTTGTGGTCAACGATTCAATATACCCCAAAACTATCAGGCTACAATGGTAGTTGGGTGAAAAATAGCTCATGCTTAAGTGAGTTTAACGATTAAATAAATATTTGGACTAAACTGTCCTTGAATAAAGTTGCATATAGGCAGCACATTTTAACTCACAGACACTTTACAATTAACTATCGAACGTGAAAATACCGACAGTAGAACCACCCCCCCCCCCAAAACAAAAACAAACAATAGCAATAATAAAAATTAACACTAAAATAAAAACCCAGTACTTTTACCAACTTGAAACAATAGCACAGAAAGAACTGATAAATCTACGTCTCCATCCATCAAAATATAAATTGAGCCTATTGAATATTCCAAATTTCAAATTACTCGAAAGCCTCCTTCTTCCCTCCTTTTATGCGCCACCTATTCAATGTATTAGCCTTGTGTAAGACCATATCATCACCTATTATTCAAATTAAGGTTCTGTATAATGTTTTGGTTTAGGCTTACACTATTTCAAAACTGAAAAGCTATTTATCATTAAAAGTAAAAGAGGTGATGCCTCTTGGGACCTCTAATTTGCCATCAATACCCTCGGTCATAGTCAAACTGGAAACAATGCCTACTCCCAAAACAACCAAATTCAAGAACATCTTATGGGATTTGTTTTAGAGTTTTACAGCACTTGCAATACAATAAGGTCATATAAGAGCCGAAGATTAGAGGTGTTACAAGAGAGTTACAGCACACAAAAAAGAAGGAGGGGAGATAAGGACGATAGATGTTTGATAGGAAAGAAGGAGCAAACCACACCAGAGAACCCAACAATCATCCACTCTAATGGGATTCGACCAGTTTCATACACATCATAGTCACAAGTGATAGAAACTGAGATAACAGCAGACAAGATGTCTTTGGACAGGCCACAAAACACACAAGAGGAGGAAAACATGTAGAAAGTAAGAACACCACTTAATGAATAATATGGTTAACTTAACAGCAAACTAAATAAAATTAGCTGGACAACAGAAAGAAACAAGAGAAGCAAACTAGTATAACCAAAGATAAAGCCAAAGCAATTTAGTCCAATACACCAAAAAAGCAGAATTATTTAGTTCGTCATGCCAATTACCATCACTTAGTTGCACATGATATCAAGTAGACAGAATAGAAGCGCCCCCCCAAAAAAAACAACAAAAAAAAAACAAACAAAACAACAACAACAACAAAAACCTCAAACCCCACAACATACAAATAAGAAAGAAAAAAAACATAAACAAAGGCAAGCAAAACACCTCATGAATTCAAGCTTAGAAAACAATTTAAAAATGGACATCTTATAACAGTAGAAATTCTCAGAAAGACTAAACAGACGTGACTGAACCAGCATCTGTGATGTAGCAGTTAGGCACTTCACTGGAGCACGCTGGAGACCAGAGTTTGATTCCCGAGAGGAAAGGATTTCTTTTGAGTACCTCAGTCTTTCTGCTGGGATGTTGTATCCCTCCCTGCTCGGGTTAGCCCTGCTAAGTAGGGTCAGAAGTTTGCCTCCTAAATGATCTCAATTGTGTCAAGGGGGGCATAAAAACACCTGAATTATATAATAAGACCGATAATAATACTAAATAATGAATACCATTTATCACTACCACACATCCCCGTTCAACAGCAAGCTTTAACTATTTCACATTCTATATTATCAACGGATTAATCGTGTTTGGTTTAAGCTGATTCCAGTGAAATCAATTGCTATTATATCTACTAAATCTAGCCAGGGACAGATTGAAATAAAAGAAACACTAAGAAGAGGTAAAACAATCAGACAGCTCAATAGAAAACTCCAACAAACCACTACGCCGCACAAAATAACTGTCCTACTCACATGTTCAAACTGGGCCATCATGTCTTTGTCACACCAGCAATAGTGAGGGGTCCTGTACTTGTGCGGCTGTTTGCGTTCCTCCTCATTCACCACCTCCCTGAAGGAAAAAAAAGAAGAAAAAAGAAAATAGCAAATACATAGATAATGGACAAAAGGAAATGCAGCCTATCAAACTGAGATAATATTACACACACTTATCAGAGTGAAAAGCAGTGGAACAGTCTTCAAAGGTAAAATATTGACAAATTCAATTTATCAATTTTTTATAGGTTTATATATTCACTATTTTTTTTTAGAACAAACTTAAGCATTATCCATATATATGCACTCTATTGAAAATGTCTATTAACCCTTTCAGCCTCAGCCATTTTTGTGCACTCCCTAACCCCAGTCCTAGCCAACACAGCAGTATTTCAGAAAAAGAGGCTTGCATTCTAAAAAGTGAAGTAGTATCTTTGTAATGAAGTATAAATGATAGAATATAACAATGTTTAAAGGCAAGTAAACAAATAATATGAAAATTAAAGTTTAATTAGGTTCACTAATTTTGAAAAAATGCGCAAATTCGGTACACCCTGAAACTGAGCATACGTTCTTGGGGCGGTGGGAGGTACAAGTGCTGCTGAAAATATACACACATGGGGCTGGAAGCTGTCAATTTCGGCACATAAAGCTATGAGAGCACATTTATGTAACTGCACATAGACACACGTTTTATTTTCGTTTCAAGTGATTTTATGTTCATTTAGACATCAATATGTCATTCAAAAGCTGAGGAGTAAAGAATCAGGAAAACGCAAGTCAAAACATAACTTTAACCCTTTGAGCCCTGACCTCCTAAGGCTACCGTGCCCCTCTGACTGAGCTCCTGAGCGATTCACGCCTATATTACTCTCACATCAATATCGTGAGAATCACACTCCATATCCCACTCAAGGTAGATCTAGTCCTCGTCATTACCAGCCTCTAATTTAGAAAGATCTTCAATATAATCAATAATGTCCTGGGTAGCAAACACTGTTTTCATTGTACATTTCCAAGATGGGCCAGGTTGGGGATAAGGTCTCGCTCGCTGGTGCACCGTTGGCTAGCCATACGGGCAATTTTACGTGCCACCGGCGTACCATCGCTAAAACCTACTTGGTATCGAATTTGGACATCTCCAGTCTCTCCTCCTCTGTGAGGGAAGCACCAAGCACGGGTACAAACTTCACCTTGTATCGTCGCTGATCTACTGGTGGGGAGTAGCGGGACATGAGGTCATGCATGGCTCCCACAATGTGATCTCTCTGAAATGAATGATGGCAATGATTGTAATATTTCATACCTCCGTCGACACAATAAATACTATTTCATGGGCGGGCAGCTTTAAAGCTGTTACAGATGCCATGTACGTACAATGTCTGTGACCTGAAAGGGACAAGCAAACAACACAGGGCAGGATGGGCTGATCTGCATACAGCAGTAAAAAACAAGAATGAATTGAATGCCCTTGTCAACACAGTAAGGTCATTTGAGGGGTGGAATCACAAGATCTAACATAATTCCTCTATAGATAGATCCGAGCCGTATGGGTGGGTATGGACCTTGAAACTCCCCTATAAAGTGAGGATAGAATCCACAATGAATGGTGGTTATTCTGTCCTTGCACCCTGACTCTTACATGCAGACACAATTCGCATGAAGACATAATTTGCATGCAGACAAAATTTGTAGAACAAATGTTTATCGTCTGCCAGCTGCTAAAAAATGCTAAGCCAAAAATTTGTATTCTTTCTTATTGCAGTTTCTTAAGCTAAGGTATCAATTGCTTGGGCTCAGGAAATATTTGTCAAAATTCACATTCTACATGTTGAAAAAAGAAAGAAAAACAAATAATACAGGCACGCGGCACAACTGTTAAAAGAACACGGCGCTCGCAACTGCATAAGGTCATATGAGCGCCAGAAGATTAGAGGTGTTACAAGAGAGTAACAAACATAAAAAAGAAGAAGGGGAGATAAGGACGATAGATGTTTGACAGGAAAGAAGAAGCAAACCACACCAGAGCACCCGCCAACCACCCATATATTTTCTCTCTCCCGTAAAATTGTGCATTTTAGAGCTATAACATTTAAACATCTTGCCAACATTATGTTCATTCAGCTGAGATATCAGCAATCCATATAATTCTTCAACAAAAACAGAAATAATAATAACAATAATATAATAATAATAATAATGATAATAATAATAATAATATATGACATTTAGCACTCAACCCCAATTAAGGCACACAGGCTCTGAGTGCTTTACAAAACAACACTAACACATAGTGCATTGTGTTCTGACTAGAAATCTTTCTCTTAATATGTAATTTTAAAATATAAAAGACTTAAGGTGACATTTGAATGAATAAAAAGATTTGATCTCTCATAATTAAACTACAGGGTGAAGCATTCCAGGTGTTGGAACCAAGTTATAAATGCTGTTCTACCCATTCTTTTTACCTGATATTGTGTCAGTTTCAGTCCATGGATTTCGCCGTTGTCCACAATACCACAATACACTGTCCCACCCATCCCAGTGTTGAGAAAGCCGCAGAGATTCCTGAAAAAAAAGAAGTGATCCTTTGAAGTTTTAGCTCTACTATTATCTACACAAGGGATATCTCATTTTGAAAGACAAACGCTTGGTAACTAAAGGTCTATATACAATGTAAAAAAAAAGATAAGGAAAATTCAAATGCCACTCAGCTTCAAACCTAAAACTTCTACATACTTGAGTAGCCAAATAGGTGATAACAACAAACCTCCCACCCCAAAAAAAGAAAATGTTTAAATTGATTTGTGAATTATTTAAATATGCATGGATTTAATCTTTAAAAATTTTTAAATTAGATCTAATCGTGTTTATTTTGGCCTTTCACTTCAAAGACTATTGTATTTATGAACAATTAGTCTTCATACCTCTCTATGTAGCGTCCAGAAATTGCCCTATCCTTCATCCTCTTTATACTATCTTACCACAGACATTATCTTTCCTATGGTCTCCAAATAGAGCTACTTATTGCATAGTTTAGTCACTGAAAGTCACATGTTTTCTTCTATATCTGTACAGTGGCCCAAAGAAAGCTTTATAACCTGAAGCATGGCCTTAAGCCTAAATGATTGTGCATGACAGACTTTTATATATATCAACAAGACTACATAGTACCTGGACACAGACTTGCGACTCCCCTTTTCATGTTTTTTATCCATCGACCACCAAGGCATGTCATCTTTGCTCAGATTTCTATGTCCTTTGAATTCATGGGTTGTGTCTTCCTCAAAAGGGGCTTTGGTGAACTTGACATAATATTTCTTCTGTCTGCTAACATCCTTGACGTCAGCCATTTTAAGCTTTACGAAAAGTTTGTACAAAGACTGTGCAACCTGGAGACATATAATAAATATAGTAACAATGAAGAAATATATTTAATTTCTCCCCCCCAAAAAGTTGTCTATTGCTTTAATAAACAAACAAAGGAGCAGTAAATTTTTGTGGTTAATGTTAATGAGGTTAAGATCATGTTTAAACATCTGAAAGCTCACAAAGCGAGAGGACCCGATGGAGTAAAAAGTAAAATTATTAAAATGTGTTCTACTCAGTTATCTCCCATTTACACTGATATTTTCAACATATGTCTTTGAAAGAACGAATAATACCACTCTCGTGGAAAAGCTCTGAAATAATTCCTATCCCAAAGAAACAATCAATACAAAATTTGAATGACCTAAGACCTGTGGCTTTAACATCTGTCCTTAGAAAATGTTTAGAAAAACTGGTTCTGAAATAACTGAAGAAATCAACAGAAGACACACAGGATAACATGCAATTAGCCTATTGTGCCAAGAGGGGCGAAGAGGATGCCATTCGTGTGTTTTTAAATAACATCTACAAACACATAGACACACCAAGAAATTACTGCAGGACGCTTTTTGCTGATTTTTCATCTGCTTTCAACACAATCCAACCCCACATTATAATGGTTTCCAAATTAATTCATATGAACATTAACAAGAACATTATTGCTTGGATTCTTGAGTTCTTAACCAATCAACCTCAATTTATAAAATTAAACGGTGTAAAATCCTACCTAACATTCACGAACACCGAAACGCCCCAAGGTTGTGTGATCTCCCCTGTCTTGTTTACGCTCTACACCAACGACTGTACTTTAGATAGCAAAAACATCAAACTAATAAAATTTGCAGATGATTCCACTCTATGAGGCCTTATAACAAAAAACAAAAATGAATACAGGGACGCTGTAAATGTAATTACAAATTGGTGTGACAACCATTTCCTTTTACTAAATGTAAAAAAGACAAAGGAATTAATAATAGACTTTAGAGTAAAGAAAGATCAATTGCAACCACTATTTATTAGAGATGAGGAGGTGGAGGTGGTAAGCTCTTACAAGTATCTTGGAATAACCATTGATAATAAGCTTCTTCTTCTTCATCTTCTTCTTAATATTTACCATTATAATAATATATTGAATGTTCCCTCCACTTCTATCATGATTCAAAAATTAGATTATGTTAAGTACCATACAAAAAGTACTGAAAGCGCTACGTTTCTTGTCATCATTCCTCGCCTTAATTATCTACTCCTCCTCCATCTCGATTTCACTTCACGACAAAAAGGGCCCATCTACATAAAATTTAACCCCCCCCCCCTTTCTCTTTCTGCCCATCTGTTTGTATGTTTTAATACGCACAAACATTTCATTTGAAATACAAAATTGACATTGTTTCAGTTAAATGATGGAAGGGGCTATCCGTACTTAATCACGGCTAGTCGGCTGGGCTAGCCGTACTTATATGATGGCTAGATTGACAAACAATAAGAAAGACGCCTACTGAATTGTAAATAAATTTATTTTAGTTTGCAATACCTAAAGTATTTGTACTTGAGACGAAACCAAAAGGTGATTTACTGACAGCGCACATATTTTAATTAAACCTGAATAATTACTAAAGACAGGGTGTCCAGCAATATTTCCTTAAAAATTTTTACTACCTGGAAAAAAATGTTACTACCCAGCAAATCAAGCCCCACACCAACTCAAAAAAGAGAGTTCATTTGCGCCACCAATAACATATAGAAAAATCTATTATTATTACATAATATATGGAATGAAAATAACACAATGAAGTCCAGTCGACAAAATAGAGGATGGACAGACTATAGCAGACTATAGAAAGCTTGCTCGCCGCTAGATTTAGTTTTAGTTTTAGTTTTAGTAAGGATTTTACGGCGCTCACAACTGCACAAGGTCATATGAGCAACAAGGTGTGGATGTCAATAGAGAAGTCCAAAAGGGGAATCAGGCATTTCTGCTCATCTCTCTTGCCCCAACAGCTCAAAGTCTGCTTCGACTATCAAGGCACTCTGGAAATAGTAGTTTTCAAGAGTGACAAACATGCATACAAAAGAAGTAGAGGAAAATGATGATAGTAAGGAAGAGGAAAGAAAAAGCAGTAGTTCCTCATATGTTGTTCCGGCACTGTATGAGCATGACATTGATAAACGAGCCCATATTTACAATTCTACTGTGCATAAGAAAATGATCCTCCCTTTGGAAATAGCCTAAAGACGCTTCAGTCAATAGCACTGCCTGGTGGCGGTGGGGGTAGATTTAGACCTACTATTGTGTGCACACAGGGTGATTGCTAAAGTGGCTTCTCAATTTTCCAGGTGGTCATCCATTTTCAAGGCCATGTTACATAACAATACGCACACACACACCCACATACAGGTAAAAAGTAAAATATATCCAGTCTGTCAAAAACCAGTCTGGATGTCATGACTCATATTATGAACGTGAAAGACAAAAATTATCGCTCAAACTCAAAGTAAAGCACAAACTTGAATGGCTTGAGTAGACCTAGGCACTGTGAGAGTTGTAAGAACAGTGGGAAGACAAGATGCAGTGACACAGAAAATCTGCCAGTCTAGAACAGAAAGCTACAATATTGTTTATAATAATTTACTATCACCCACCCAATGAAACACTAAAGGTGGGTTCAATAAAGCGGCGTACACGGTATGAAGGATCCCGATTCCACATATGGCCTGCACCAACCCGCGTTTTGCAGAGGGCTCTAAATCTATTCAAAATTCTTAAACTTGCTTTCAAGTTTTAGTCCTCTGGTGTTGCTTACAGCACCCCCCGGAGTATCTTAAAAAAAAATAATAATCCCCTCACCCATTCTGTCGTCCTATACTTCGCAACACTCAGACTTTGAATAAACTTTGGCGACCCCAAAAAAACGCCACTGCTCACATGAATGCATGCAGGTTCACTGACCGGTCATGATGGCGAGCCCGACAATCTATAAACCAGACGATGCTTGTACTTTCTTTTCTTCCCCCTCCTGCCACACACACACACACAAGTGACAGCACAGTGACAAGTCTGAGTATTGATTGAATTTCATTTGCATGGCGACACAGCGTTTATACTGCATAACCTGCATGTCACAAATGTTGCGTTCTCAGTCTATCGCCGGGAAATTTCTGGGTGGTAACGAAAGCGAAAGTAGATCTTGATTTTTCCCGATGGAGCCTCGGTGTCACATACACTTCCGCCTGCCGCCATAGCTGCCTTTTTGCGTGAAACGTACTCTCGGGGCGGGGAAAGGTGAGCGAAAATTAATATACAATTGCGACTGGCAAAAACGGAGTCATGTACCACGGCTAGGGTTCACTGAAAAGTCTTGCTGGTTTCATTACTCCGTACGCAGGTAAATTTACGACGGTTAACCAAATGTTTACTATCATCACGACTCATTTTCTACCATTTACGACCTTTGCGACCAGGGTGCCAAATTTACGACTTTACGACCTTGCTGGACACCCTGTAATGAGACCTGTGTACTCAGCAGGTTTCTATATAGGGCCTAAGATAAGTACGGTTAGACTAGCTGGCTAGCCGTACTTAATGATGGCTGAATTGTAAATGAAATTTTGGTTTGCAATTCCTAAAGATGTGTATTTCAGACGAAACCAAAAGGTGCCTTACTACTAACATCATGCATGTATTCTAAACCTTTTACAAACTAGATCTAATGAGACCTGTGTACTCAACAGGTTTCGGTCAGTATAGGGCCAAACCTAGATCTAATTACGGCTAGACTGCCAAGCTAGCCATACTTAAGTAAGGCAGTACGGCCAAGGTAGCCCCGTAGCCACTTCGTTAAATGATTACATTTAGCATTGTTTGGTGAGTATTTGGTGTTTTGGTGAGCTTCAAGGAGTTTTTTTTTGGGGGGGGGTAGGCCCTAAGTGTTTACGGCGCTTGCAACTGCATAAGGTCATATGAGTGCGCAGGACACACCTAGAATATTTTCAGTTGGTAGGAAAGTTTAAATTTTGCCAGGGTGGCGGCTGAAACCTACTCTTATATATTATCGATTTTAGACCACCAAGGGATCTTTAACATGCGCAACTTGCACACTTGCCCTCCGAGAATTTTCGCCTTTGTCTGAGAAGGCTAGGTTTAGATCTTTCCTACCAGAAGATAAAGGGTGCGGCTGAAAGACAGCAGTAAGAAGAAGCCAAGGAGTAGCAGTAGAAAAGCTGCAAAAAGAGTCAGGAGCCAAGAGGAGGGGGCAAAGTAGGTGAGGGGGTGGGTGCAGAAAGAGGAGACAAAAGCAGATGACAGAACATTGCTAGAGAGCAGAAAAGGAGGTGAAAGGAGACAATTTTAGAGAAGAAAATTTTTCGGTCGCTACCCTGATTTGAAACTGGGACCTTTGAAAGAGAGGCCAACACCTTAACCTCTAGGCCACGAGAGCCCCCATTCCATAAGCTTTGTGTTTGTGAGTTTCGGTAAAAAGACATCTAATTTAGATCTAGATCTAGGGCCTACCGAGAATAACGGGTCATGAGCTATTCTCACCAGGCACAAGGGGTGAGAATTATAGACTAGGTGGCCTTTTGGCTATTCTCACCCGGTGTGCGTTCACCGTGATAGATAGCCTAGGCCAACCAGTGTAGCGTTCACCGTGAACCACAGAATTCTACACTGTGATAACAGAAGTGTAGAATTCTGTTTTGTGAACAAACGTTCCAGCGCTCTTGTGAAGCGTGCAATTTTGTTTGTGGGCAGTGAGAGAGAGAGAGAGAAGTTGTGCAGGAACTTCCAGGCAAACAAAATGGCGACCCGCGTAGTTTGGCTCGATTCGAAACTAAAAATAGCCGTAGCATCTTTGTAGATTACCAACTTAATTTACTTGTGTTTTAACATCATTTTTTATCTTTGTTTTGGTCAATTTGATCGTCCACACCGATAGACAGTATTCAGAAAGAGACGGAGAGAGAGAGAGAGAGAGAGAGAGAGAGAGAGAGAGAGAGAGAGAGAGAGAAGATCTTACGAGAACTTCCAGGCAAAACAAAATTGCGACCCACGTAGTTCGGCTCGATTAGAAAAGTTAAATAGCCATAGTATCTTTGTAGATGATCAAATTCGCTTACTTATATTTATATTTGTGCTATAACGTCATTTTTTTCTTTGCTTTTGTCAATTTGATCATCCACACCGATAGACAGTATTCCGAAATTAGGAAAAACAGGTCTTGTTTAAAACCGGGTGAGAATAGCCAACTTTGGCAAGTCTCACCTGGGGTGAGAGGTCGATCGTGTTTTTAGTCTCACCCCGTGTGAGGATAGCCACTTCCTTAAAATATATGCCTTCTAGATTTAGATTAGATCTATACTATCTATTAACTAGATCTAGAGTCTAACCGCATCACCGCGCATCTGTTTGGGTGCGCAACCCCCGGTCTCCTGCTTTGTTTTGGATAAGAACAGCGAAAACGAGGTCACTTTCTGTGAGCATGCGCAGAATGCAGCTTATTTCACTTTCATTTTGGAGGTTCCTGTCAACACACGTGACTCTACGGTGTCGGAAAGTTTTGCCCCTTCATATTGATGGTTTTCGTAACCGGTATCGGTGAATTTACTAAGCGCTTGAGTAGTCGATTATTTAGCACATCTAGTTAATCTAGCTCTAATGTATCGTAGAATGTATACTAGAATCGATAAATACTATCGCAGGCTGCTTCTTAATGCCCAGGAACATGCCAGATAGGGTTGCGCACTGAAGCAGACCAAATTTGTGCAGTCCGTTTCAGTGCACAATATATCAGCTTTTTTGCTATTTGGCATTGATAGTGTGGCTTCTAGGCCCTTTGGTTGTTTTACAATTAAGTTATTTCTTTATGACCTGCATTGTGCACTGAAACAGACTGTTTTCCTTCCATTTGGATGCATTATATTGCCATTGGAAGATGATCAGTTAATGTATTCATGTCAAAATTAATTAATACGGAAATTTAATCTTCAAAATGTTCAATTTCTTCTTTTCATGTCTTTTTCTTCTTCTTGTTTGTCCTTTTCCTTTAAGAATACTAGTCTAGGTATAGTCTAATTCTTGTTTTCTTCTTTCACCTCCTTGTGTCCACAGCGCCTTTCTTTTTCAATTTCTTCTTTTCACTTCTTTTTCTTCTTCTTTTTTGTCCTTTTCCTTTAAAAATACTAGTCTACGTATAGTCTAATTCTTGTTTTCTTCTTTCACCATCTTGTGTCCACAGCACCTTTCTTTTATCCATTATCAAAACACATACACAGTATAAGGAAATCTCCTGTCAGGGGGCGCACAGCTCCCAAAAAGAACACGCCTCATTGACCTTGGCCTTCCGTTATGGTCAGTACAGGAACTTCTTGCAAGGAAAAGAAGACAAGGCCAGGATAGAGAAAGATGAAAAGTGTCAGAAAAGAGCTAGATCTAGATCTAGAGCTGTAAACATGGTACTATTGCGCACTCAACCAGACGATGTTGCACCAAACAGACACCTTGCGCATCCCAGACACATGTTACCACACAAACACCACCACAACATATAGGAATTTTAAACTGCTGTTACAGTAATGCACTACAACGTATAGAGAGGAAGTTTTTGTAACTTCGGGTGAAAAAATCATGAAGATCGACCTGTAACTTCCAGAGATATCCACAAAAGATCGTAAATTACTGTATATCGCACCATACAGTGGTCCACAGGATTAACTCTAACATGTAAAAATTAAGTAAGTTTTAACTTATAAATCTGAATTAATCTAAGTTTGGAAAAGCCGATAGAATCTGGATATTACATGATGTATTTCAATTAATATCTAGATCTACCTGGCCTTTAAAACCTGAGCACTGATATGCTGACTGAGGTACCGCCGGCCCAACAAAACCTGACGGAAAGATCTGGAGACTGGAGGGGTAGGCTACTGGCACGTACCCTAACCGCCAAAAAGTGAAATGATTTGTTTCCTACTTTTTTAGTAAATGATAGCCTACACAAGTGTTGGCCTTCTGGCAGAAACTGGTAGAAAAGCAACAAGTATGACAATAACAAACTAGCAAGCGGCATGAGCACACCCCTTTACTCCTGTAACATTGTTGTTATTGTCACCTTCCAGCTTCCGGTTGAAACAGAAACTAGCCAGGATCTAGATCTAGATCTAGATCTAGTTAAGACTGTAGAACTAATTTTACCTGGTTCGTACTTTCATATGTTTTAAAATAATTTTTCTCTGCACATATATTTGACTCTGACAAATGGTTTTCCGTCTTTCATATTTATTGATGAAAGTATACCATGCAGATATTGTAGGTTTTGAGGTATTTAGGGCAATTGGACTGTGTTTAAATACCATCTAGTTTATCAAAGAGGCATAGAAACATCTAAGAGGAAAAGACAACTCTTAATTACTCTCCTCATCTCCAAAATATACACGACCTCACTGCAGTGCAAGCAAGCAAACAGCCGTCGACACCCACACCATACTCATAAGAGAATCTGTTCACCTCTTTTATTTTTAGCATTTAAACTTAAAGGTTAAGAGTAATATGGTGTCACTTGACAATGCAAACCCAGTAGTCTTTCTTCGTCGTAAAGAACGACACGTTCTTCCAGAAGAGGAAGATGATGATGTGACTGATAAATTCGACAGTCGAGAAGTTTTCGGTGAGCTGTGATGAATAGGCCTAGATCTAAATCTAGGCTAGATAGATTCTAGATCTAGATCTAGATATAGATTCTATATCTAGATCTAGTCTAGATCTAAATATATCTAGAGTCTATAGACTAGACTAGATCTAGATTCTAGATCTAGAATCTAGGGCCAGAATCTCAATCTTTTTTAGATTTAGATCTAATCTAGATCTAGATCTAGATCTAGATCTAGATTCTAGATCTAGACCCGGGGTGAGGATAAACTGGATTATATTTTGGCCGGCACTATTTCTCCTAACGTTCGGGAAAATAAAGCTAGGCACTATTTCTCCGAACGTTCGGGAAAATAAAGCTAGGCACTATTTCTCCGAACGTTCGGGAAAATAAAGCTAGGCACTATTTCTCCGAACGTTCGGGAAAATAAAGCTAGAATCTAGGCACTATTTCTCAGAACGTTCGGGAAAATAAAGCTAGGCACTATTTCTCCGAACATTCGGGAAAATAAAGCTGGGCACTATTTCTCCGAACACTCTGAAATCACATCCTTTCCCGCAAATTTCGGATATGATATAATTATCTCACTCATTCCCTTGCACCCTGCGAACCATGGACAATAATATTAGGAAAACACTGCCTACTGCCCAACCACATTCCTTTCGTTCGTGAGCTGTGGACCAGGCCAGGGGGGTCGGTGTCGTCGCCTTGTAGTTTTTGTCGCCTGTGGATACACTCGTACCTTCTTCCTTTCACCTGCTCTGTCACTCACACTGTCTCTCCATCCACAGCTCAGCTCGTCATATGTTCAAAAGTTGCCCACTGATCATGTTTAGTTAGTGTGTGTATAAGTTTGTGTGTGTACATATGTGCATGATGGTGGTGGGTGTGTGGTGGGTGTAACTGAAAGTTGTCTGAAGGCCGGCTTGCCATGCGGTGTTCCTTCCTAGACCAGAGGCAGAATGAAAGTTAGTGCCGAACTCTCGCAATAAATAGGCAAAAAATCACGAGACCGGAAGCCGGAAACCGTTCGGAGAAATAAAGATCAGCACTATTTCTCCGAACGTTCGGAGAAATAGTCACTTCGTTATATTTTTCTCACCCGGGGTGAGAATAAAATTTGAAATGTTAAAATGGATACTATTTTCACCCTGGGTGAGAATAACAACAGCCTACTATTCTCACTCGCTTTTTTCATTTCTGCCCTTTTTATTTCGTTTCGGGCATCATAGGCTTGGACCCCTTACTGAGCGCTCCCCAGGTAACAAAACTCGCCTCCCTCGATTTCTCACTCCGCTGAGCGCGCGAGGCGACTAAAATCGCCAAAGGGCGGGCCAGCTCTCGAGCGCGGGAGGCAACTATTGTCGATTCGGAGTGTCTACATACACGGTAACCGGGCACCTAGTCTCAGTATTAGTATTTACATACACGGTAACCGGAATGAAAATAAATCAATATTTGTCGTGTGCTGTCACTTGCTGAAAAAAAAAGAGTCGTACAGCAACTTGTCGGGCTCGCCATCGTGACCGGTAAGTGAACCTGTGCGTGCGCATCACATTGTGAATACCGGTTGGGGTCACCAAAGTTCATTCAAAGTCTGTGCGCTGCGAAGTATTGGGCTTCGGAATAGGGGGAATTATTGATTTTTTTTAAAGGTACAGTCGGGGGAGGGGTGGGGATGAAGGCAACACCGGATGACAAAAACTGAACTTGGAGTTCTGAACTGCCCGGTTACTGTATACTTGACACTGAGACTACGTACCCGGTTGCCGATTACCGTGTACGTAGATATTAAGGCAGGCTACATTCCCGGTTATAGTGTACATGACACTGAGACTACGTGCCTGGTTGCCGGTTACCATGTATGTTTGTTAGACACTGAGGCTAGGTGCCCGGTTACCGTGTACGTAGACACTCCATTGTCGATTTGAGGGAAAACTTTATAAATGATCTTTTGAGCAAATATTTTATAATAGCGTCACCTTGTAGCTATTATTGGTTCTGTAATGGAAAATTTAACTCTTGAATGGTTTAACCAATCAAAATTAATAAAAAATTAAGTCTAGGGTCAAGGCACTGCGTGCCTTAATAATATGGTTGGTTCTGAAGGGATAACATGTTATTGTTGTTATAAACAAATCCAATTCTAACATTATAATGACATACTATTACAAACATTATTTCATTAACACCTTTCAGTTAAGGCTATTTTTTTTTTTTAAAACATACTACTCTGGCTAGTGAATTCCTTTCTGAATTTAGAATACACTTGTCTAGAGTTTGGTGAAGATATGCTATGCGTGCATACTCTCAAGACTCAAGAAGATCTTAAAAAATTAAACAATAACAATCCCTGTGGGAGCCTAGAAATATCGGCCAGCTCTCAGGGGCAGGTCATGAACGGTCACTCTTACAATTCACTAATTATTTTATATCATCCTATTAGCCTACTCTAGATCTAGGCCTACCTGTTCTCAACACCCAGGTAAGAATACAAATCCACTGCATTCTCAGTCCGTGTGAGAATAACTTCAATTTTATTCTCACCGCGTGAGAATAACGACAATAAGCTTTCACTCAACTTTTATTTAACTGGATAATTATAATACAGTGACCGGGCACCTTAGCCTCAGGGTCTATGTACACGGTAACCGGCATCCGGGCACGTAGGCTAGCCTCAGTGTCATGTACACGGTAACCGGGCATGTAGCCTCAATATCTACGTACGCGGTAACCGGCAACCAGGCACATTTCAGAACTCCAAGTTCAATTTTTGTCTTCCGGTGTTGCCTTCATGATGAATCCCCACTCCTCCCCTGACTGTACCTTTAAAAAAATCAATAATCCCCCCCATTCTGCCCTCCGCTGCCCTATAGGCTACTTCGCAGCGCACAAACTTTGAATGAACTTTGGTGACCCCAACCGGTTCTCACAAAATGTGATGCGTATGCTCTGGTTCACTGACGGGTCACAATGGCGAGCCCGACAAGACGCTTGTATGACTTTTTTTTTTTTCAGCAAGTGACAGCACAGGACAAATATTGATTTATTTTAATTCCGGTTACTGTTTACGTAGACACAGACTAGGTGCCCGGTTACTGTGTACTTGGACACTCCGATTAAACAAAGTAGCTGAATGCTCATTTTGGTTTCCCACGAAGGCCAATCCTTCTTTGAATCCCATGTCCACTTGACTGGGATGGGAATCTTTGTTGTTTCAAAATTATTAAAATTGGTAGTCTAGTATTAATTGCGACAGAGTGACGCTGTGACAACTAATATGGCGTTAATTGCAACAGAGTGAACACGGAGCTCTTTTATGTTGATGATTAGAATCTTATCTCTACCATTTCCTCTTCGCTTCCCAGCTGGGTGGTCCTAGGCTTTCTAGAGCAGGCACTCAAATCTTATGACGAATTTGACAAATCTTTTGCTGAATTTAAAATGAAAATTTTTTCGCCTTTAGGAAGAAATCATCTGAAACAGTTGAGAAGGCAAACTTAAAGTGTGTGGCAAAAATCCACAAAGACTTTCTGTACAGTCGAGTACGTTGACTTTATATCTGTTATAGACAGCCCAAATATTGAGGCAACAAACATTACAACAAAACATCAGCAGCATACAACAGCAACAAAAACAACCAGGGGCAACCACAGCAACAACAACAAGAAAAGAGCTGCGACTGTGTTTGTTTGTTAGTTGTTTTTTGTGTGTGTGTGAGGGTGTGTGAATGCGTGTGTGTGTGTTTGTTTTTCTTTTTTCTTTTTAGGCTGTCGTTATTCTCACCCGGGGTAAAAATAAAAGTATTATTCTCACGCGGTCTGAGAATGCAATGGATTTCTATTCTTAGGTCTACCTGGGTGTTGAGAACGGGTAGGCCTGTACTACATATATGTAGGCTGATAGGATGATAGAAAATAATTTTTGAATTGTAAGAGTGACCGTTTGTGACCTGCCCCAGAGCGCTGGCCGATTTTTCTAGGCTCCCGCTGGGATTGTTATTGTTTCAGCCTTTTAAAAATTCTTGAGAGTATGCATGCATATCTTTACTAGAACCCTAGACAAGTGTAATTTTATATTCTAAATTCAGAAAGGAGTAGTATGTTTTTAAAAATACTAAATAATAGCCTTAACTGACTAACTATCTTTAGCTTTCTATTCATAATGTGTTATGAACACGTGAATAATTAATTATAGATCTAACTCCCTCTCATAAGTTGATAAGTCTTAACGAGTAGTTACACACGTTCCTGGGTTCGAAAGGAAATAGTAGGCCTACAAGTCAATTTCCGAATGTTTTGTACTCAAATTCTTCTTTTTACATGCACAATGGTATTCAAAACTAGATCTAGATTTATCTATAGACTTATTTTTATCAGGTAATAGATTTATCACTTTGCATAAATTCAGGCTCATTTGAAAGATTTTGTACAGTATGGAAGTCTTGTTTCCTGGCTATCCTTTCGAGCTCCTCATGTCTAAGTGGGTCAATTTGTTCTCTACTAATTTCATTGGAAGAACATCTAGAGCTACCAACTGGGTATGTTTTGAATGAGATGTAGGCCTAGGCTAGCCTACGCTTTGGTGTAGAACCAACACAGGTGATTCTAGAAGTAGGCCACAAACGCATAAACTCAAGCAGAAATTCATTTTACATCGGGGAACATAAATTTAAATCCGGGGGACGGGGTAAGGGAAAGAGAGAGACACACACACACACACACACTCACACGCACACAGAGGGAGAGCGGAAGTTCACGAACTATAAGGCCAGCCCCTCTTACCGCCAGGCTTTGCCTCTATGTACGAAAAGGGATTCCTATTTGATTTGAACATAGCATTTAAGCGCCTTTGCGCCGCCACCCACCAACTGCTTGAGTTGTACGGTCCTCATTAAAAATTAATTTAATGTAAGTTTACCCCGCTATATCGCCAGGGAATTGGCCGCCAAAGGTACACACTACACATGCGCATGGCCCTCACTAGGTGTCTGCTATTTTCTTCACACATCTCTGGGAGCTCGGCCCAAGTCTAGCACTTGTCGCCAATTTGCTCTCCTGTTTAGTTTTGCGCTCATTATGAAAACGCTTTCATTTTTAGGCTTTCGCTAATTTTTTTTTTGGTAAATCGAATGGGATTTAAAAATTCGCCTGGATAAACTAAATGAACTGCGCCAGCTCGACTTGCTGCAAAATATCTGGCATTACCAGACAGGTGTCAGCCTAATTACCAATATGCTGATGGGCACTCTTGAGGCTTTTATATTGCAAGGACTCGCGCTCAAGTCTGCGTGACTGGTCTGAGGCGGGCCAAGGATGGATGAGTTCAGTAGTCTCGCCTAATACGAGGTGCCCATTTGGGGATCGGGTTAGGGCGGGGTGGTTTGCTTGCCAGATTGAGGAAGCAAAAGGGCTATCTTGGTATTATAAGCCGAGTGAGGCGATAGCCCTCGACCCGACCTGATCCTATCCGCAATGGGCACTTAGTGTCAGATCCTGGTGTTTGGAAGCAAGAATAATTCGGGATCTTAGGTGAACAGGATCTTATCCGACACCTTGGGGAGAATCCATGGTGACCAATGCTTAGCTCCTTTACCTGACCAAAATTTATAGCTTTCCGTCTCTGACCAAGTTCCCCAGCCTCTGTCCTTACGCACCATTGTGTTGTGACCACACCAATTAAAATTCAGTCTGCCTAGCAAATTCGGGTGCAGAGAAAACTGGTGCAATGGTTAGGGGCTCCTGGAAGAGTCCAAAGTGAAAGTTTTATGTGATCCCGTCTAAAATGGACTTATACTATAGGCCCTACCCACCCGCCAACCCAGCTTGTGATGTATGTTCAGGTAGAGAGCTCAGATGGGAGTGCAATGTTTGTGGAAGACAAACTCGTTGGCCAGTTCACACCTTTGTGTGATACCATCTGGGGCAAACATTGTGCCCTATACGTTCTCTGACCGTCTAGATTGTACCGTTTCATTTAGATTTACAACGGACATGTTGGTCACATTCATGAGAGTTGCTGATCTGTGACGCAATGGGTAGTTCAATTATCGCAAATTTTCACTCTTGGTTAATCAGCTGGGCCCGCCCCGCCCAAGTTTTTGTTCCATAAATTATGCTCTGAAATGCTTGATCTTAGCCAAATGTTGTCCATCAGAGGGGGATCTCAGGAATGACTCTTGTGTACTGAAAATTATGTTTTTCTAGGCCCTTTACATAAATGCATTAAAGAACAATATTCATGCACGCGACACACACACACACACACACACAAATCCGCACACTCATATACACACAAACACACCCACATATACACATACACACACACAAACACACGCATACACACTCACGAACACATAACACTCACACATGTGCACACACATGTACGCCAAACACACACACACACACACACACACACACACACACACACACACACACACACACTCACACGTACACACACACACACACACACGTACACACACACACACACACACATCTACTTGCTTATCACGCGCACACGATTACACATCGTCACGAAATGAGCATAGAATAATATATACACTGCAATTCACAAAATACATAAGGGATACATAGACATTTACATGACATTGTCTTGAACATGAATCTATTGACTTAAAAAGGATGTCATTCAATATTCAATGTGTCTTTAAAGATTTTTAAAATTTAGACTCAGATGTTGTATGTCTCAAGGGTTGGGGAAGAGAGTTCCAAACTGACGGAGCTCTGATGGAGACTGCATGTGAAATGAGCCGATAAGTATGAAGTCAGATCATACTCTCACACTGATAGATGATCTGTTTGTAAATTTCGTTTCAGATCTTATCCGAGTCATAAATGATCCTGAACATCCTTTGACTTTGGAGGAGCTGAATGTTGTTGAGGAATCAAATGTTAAGGTAACCATTTTTGTATCATCATCACAGAAGAAAGTCTACTGTCCTTTCACTTTACAGATCTTGTATTACAATCTTTCTGAAACTTTTTTTTTCTGTAGTGGAGTGTTCTAAGGTTTGGTGTCTTGATGGTTACTTTTTACTCTCTTGATGTAAGGTTTGATAGAAGTCCTTTACTTGATCAGGTCAAACCTAAAAAGAACCCCAAATAAATCAAATTTGCTTCAGTACATACATTCCCTTTTTTCTTCCCTTAGACCTTAGACAGGACTGAAAAATGTTGATGTCTTCCTCCTCCCCCCCCCCTCCTTCTTTTACCCCTTTTCACTCATTCATCACTCCTGACAAGAATTGTCGCAGAATAGTCCCCCTCCCATATACCATTGATAATTTCATTTAAGTTTGAAGAAAAATATGTTTAGAATATTTGTTGTATCCAAATCAAGCATCCAGATCTTAAGCATTCATAATGCACTGGGAGTGGTTTTAAGAAGGCATGGTTAAGCTTCTTGAATAGTCTTAAAGCCCTCTGTTCTGTTTTGATTATTCTTCTCAGTTGATCAAGTAACATACATGTGTAATTATACGAGGGCTGTCCCACGGAAAACCGGAATTTGGCTGTAATTTGAAAACTATTCAATATTTTCACATTCTGTAAACGCACACTTGTAAAACAATCATTTAGAAATTTCCCTATTGAGCACCATGAGCGTCGCACAAACCAAACGAGCACAGCAGTTCTAAAAAGATGGCTACCCCCTTGGAAAATTGGTCAAGGGTAGAAGTGAGGTCTGTCATTCGGTTTCTGACCGCAAAAGGTCTCAAAACCTCTAGAAATACACACTGAAATAAAGTCAGTTTATGGGGAGAAAGTAATGGCAAAGTCACAGGTATATGAGTGATGTAGTAAGTTCAAAGCCGGGCACTCCGATATCAATGACAAAGTTTACCCAGGATCTTGTTTTTCTGCCAAGACTGAGATAACATGAGTCGCATTAACGAACTTATTCAAAGAGACAGGCGCCTAAAAATTTGTGAAACTTGCGAGTCGCTAAACATTTCAAAGTCGACTGTCTATAGGATAGAGTTTGATGAGCTACACTATTGAAAGGTCTCTGCTTGATGGGTTGGGGCCTGGGGCCGAAAAAGACCAGCGGGGTCATTTTGCAGCATGGCAACACAACGCCACACACCGCAAACGTCACGAAAGACTGGTTCCAAAGGTTCGGCTAGGAAGTTCTACTACACCCCCCTCACAGTCCTGACTTGGCCCTGACAGATTATCTCCTTTTTGTACCAATGAAATGCCATATTTCTGGACAACGATTCACCGACGACGAAGACCTCGTGGAAGCCGTGAACGATTGGTTGAAATCCCTTGACGAAAGATTTTTCAGGGAAGGTATCTTCTCCCAGATCCAGCGATGGGAAAAAATGTGTCCAGCGGGATGGTGATTACATTGAGAAATAAAGCACATGTTGAGGTATGATGTGTTACAGTTTTATTATAATAGGACAAAGATTTTTGCTTTTACGGACCTTTTCCGGTTTCCATGGGACAGCCCTCGTAACAAAACTACTTTGTATTGGAGAGGAGGTTTCTTAGCACTGAATGGGTTGAGAAAGATTACTCTTACACCACCTTTTTCATCTTTTGTTTCTCTTTCCCAAATACTTTTGTCTCCGAGTATTTTTTCCGGTCCAGTGTCTAGACTGTTGGTTTGAATTATTATGCTCTTCATTTTCACAAAATTCTGCTCAGTAGGGCTAATCTCTTTTGGAAAAACTATGATCCATTCTTTTTTACACAGACTCATTTCTAAGGATGCAATTTAACCTGGTAAATTGTTATCGTTCTGCAGGTTGATGATGATGCCAATGCGGTCTACATATTGTTCACCCCGACTATCCCCCACTGCAGCATGGCCACCTTGATTGGACTTTCAATCAGGGTGAAACTGTTAAGGGCTCTGCCCTCCAGATTCAAGGTATCAATTGTTTAGTGTTCTAAACATGCCTGAAGGGCTTTTTTTTATTGGAACAACATGTATCTTTACATTTACTTTTCTCTCTCAGCCCTGCTCTTGTATTGAAGTGTTGGATACAAGACATTTAGGACAGCAGCAGTTCAAGATAAGCCAAGTAACCATGTTGAATGTTGATTATAATATGAGGATTTAGGTCTTTTCATCATCATCATTGCCTTTCTCACCCTGCATCAGGGTATAGGCCACAAACAAACATTTTCCACCTTTCTCTATCCTGGGCTAGCCTCTTGATATTATTCCATGTCTTCCCACTTTTCTGTACATCAATTAATTTCTGAGATTCTTCTCCAAGTTCCATGTGGTCTTCCCTTTGAATTTTTACCCTGTGGGTTCCAATCCAACACTTTCTTTGTTATGCAGCTACCTGACTACCTGAGAATATATCCAATCCATCGCCAACGCCTTCTTCCTACCTCATCTCTGACTGGAATCTGTCTTGTTTTCCTTAACACTTCCTCATATGTGACCCTGTATTTCCATCTGATCCTCAGTAACTTTCTTAGACATTTGTTCAAGAAAACCTGGATCCTTTATATGCAAGTCTGAAATGCGTTCCTTGTCTCACGTGGACTGACTTCACATTTGAATTGAAAATCCTCCGCTTTGTTCGAAGTGAGATATCTCTGGTCTTCCAAATCCTATTCATAGATATGAAAGCAGCCTGTGTTTTTCCAATGCGGGACTTTATTTCAGCACATATTCCTCCCTCTCTGTCAATTATACTCCCAAGATAGCAGAAGGATTCAGCACCAAGTGCATTTCCTTCATGTCGCACAGAAACAGGATACTTTAGTTGAGAGCTCAGGTAGCCAGTGGCGCGCTGACCTGTGATGGTGAGCGGGGTCATCGCGTGGGCATTCTTTGGTCACTGTGACGGCGCGGGAGGTTTAGAAAATCATATTTTTCATTCTGAATTGAGAGCTAATTAATGCTATAATATTAACTGAAAGACATCCGTGCATGCGGGAATCAGAAATTCCAAGCCTTTTTCATGATATTTCAAAAACAAAGAGAATCAGTATTAGTCTGTTTAGTTGTAACAGACAGTGGAAGATGGTCATGTCTGATTCCCGTTATCGTTTCTAGTTATGACGTAATGAGCGCCGATAATTAGAAAACTGAGCGTCAGGATTAGTTCATCTTTAAGGGACATAAATGTAATACTTAAGGGTATCTACTCACCGAATTTCACTGCTACCGCAATTTCCGTAACCTCAAAATGGTTGATTTATGCATCACATTGCTGTAAATATCCACATATTTCCCTCACTTAACTCCGTACGAATTATGGCATAGGCTATAGGTTTTATTATGTATACACACATGTCCTTAATCATTGTGTCTGCATGTTGCACATCTACGTGTTGGTCACTGACTGGGACAACAGACTGGGGGTGGGTGTGGCAATTCTGATTTCTACTGTGTGTGGGTTGTTTTTTTTGGTGTTGAGTCTGTGCTGAGAGTATGGGTACATGTACTCTGTGTGGTTGTGTCTGTCTCAGAAATGTTGGAGCTAGGACTAATTTGGTTTGTGTATCTTTCTTGGCTGCTGGAGTGAGACTGGGGGTCATGGGCCTTTAATTTGGCTCAGTCAAGAGAGAGCAGGTTTTTTTTCTGTTCACAGACTGCATGTTTTTGCATCACTGTTTTCACTGTAAGCACACCAAATGTGTTGACTGCAGTCAGAAGTATCTCTTATTGTTTGTAGGGACACTGCATTATTTCGACTTTAGTGTCATGGATTGTTTTATAGCATTTCAAACACACAAATTTGTAGTGCTTGTCACTAGTGTCATCTTTGATACTCAACCCAAACACAAGGAAGAGATCACTGGCTATTTCCGAACACAAATACGGCTCTTTAAAGGATTTTCTCTGCTTCCCTGTAATGTTCAGTCTTCCACGCACTCTAGACTGTTTAAAGTGGATACATTACTTTCAGGGGTGTGCTCCATTTTAAGGTCTTCGTTGTATACAGCAATTACGTTAGTAAATTCGCTGGCCCAACATAAAAATCTGATGTAGCTTAACAACCACAACTGCGGTAGTTCTGAAATTTACACACTTAAAATAAGATTTGTTAATGAACACACACATACGAATCCCAAAAAAATTCAATGCATCGTTTTGTCGCAATAAACTATTATCCATCCTCAATTTGAAATAAGAAAAAGGTGTTACACAGGCAGCAAACAGTCACATGTGGAACACTTGGTACAATATGTAGAAGACTGGGGCTTTCTTTAAGAGGAGGAGAAATGGTGGTGCTTAAGTCTATAACTTAAAACTACTTGGTGGGTCTTACGACACCACTGCAATTGAGATAGTAAATGAGACAATTTAATCAAGAGCGCATCCCAGTTTATAACGGAGCAAAGAGGTTAAATGACCCCAATAAAAAAGGTCAACAGGTATCGCCCGGGATGATTAATCACCTGTGGACAGCGGGAGCTGTGGTGCAACTAAAAGGCCCGATTTCAGCTGATTTCGTGCGCCATGCCTTGTGTTGTGACCTGCTCTTTTCTTTGTGCATCTATCCTTATGACCTTTGACTCTCCGGAGTGGATCCTCACTCCAACAGACTCTGATAGGCTGTTTACGGCTGAAGTCTTTGCTTTCGTCTGTTCCTGGGTGTAAGACAGAAGTTCCAAGTCTTCCGCAAAATCCAGATCGTCCAACTGTGTCCATGGGTCCAGGGTATACCATTTCTGTGTCTTCTGGTGGTTTCCTTCATCGACCAATCTTCCGCCAGCAAGAAGAGGAAAGGTGATGGTAACATCACAATCACTGTCTCCCTCCGGTTTCGGTGTCAAAATATAGGTCTTTTGATTTAATTGAAACTATTAAAAGGCTGTTGTCTTTTCTCGTACGTGTAATGAACTCATTTGCACCATTTATATAAAATTTCAATCATAAGTCCTTGAAAAACATTGAGTTCTTATACTGCTATCTTCAGCTTCTCTCCTTTTCAACTTTTTCTCATTTAATAGACAAAACCCAATCTCCCTACCTTGGAAGCATTCTTGATGGAAGTTTAGCAAACAACCAATGAGTTCATTCAGCTTGGGATTTTTCAAAAATCCGTTTTATTTTTCAGGTATCTTCGGGAAAACAGTGGACTCTTTTAGAGCAAGTTCATCTCAGCATCTAATCTTAATGTTTTTGTTGGCACAAAGAAAATCAAATTGCTGACTGAATTCTTTCACCATCCCGTGCACACTACAGTCAGCTTGCATACAAACAAAAATTTGAAAGGCTTTGGAAGTTCAAAGACATTTCTATCCCTTTTCCAATACTTTTTCTCAACTCCCAAGTATTGCTTATAAACACTAATAAAAACTCTCAAAGCGTTCTCCTTCTTTCTTCATACCCACCTCTCAATTTTTTTCAGTGCCCTCAAATGAACTGGCCATCCTTATGCCTTATACAAAACTGAATTTTATATACTAATGTGAGAGGGCATTGTCAAATTTTCAAATGCTTAATTTAGATGAAGGGAATATGTGTGGCTTCGTAGTGAAATCAGGCACTCATCAAAGTAATGAAATAAAAAAGATGACTTTTTTTTAACGGTTGGTCAATTTTCAGATATTCCAAGCACTCTGACAAAATTGCAATACACATTTATTTGCCACGGTCGGTTCATAGTGTAAACTTAATCTACCAGGGTTCTGGAAACGCCAGTGTTTTCCCCCAAACTCCAATTCTTAGGGAGGAATCTGTGGAAATATCCTATTTTTGGTGGTGGAAGGGTTGGCTGGTCTGAATTTTTTATGAATTTGTTTTTTCGGCTCGAAACCTTTTATGACCATTGGGTTTAAAAAGAGATTCCTTGATGGATTTTACTGAAAGATGTTGATCAAAAGCCAAAAAAATGTAAATTTGCAATTTGTAAGGGCACAACAGCTCTGGAAACCACCAACATTGACAGCCATTTTGTTAATTTTACCTCTTATACCGGGCGACCCCCAACCCCTTCAATTACAAATATCCCGACTTCTTTTCAAGACAAATGAGTTTGTTTTTTTCTCTTCAAAAACAAGGCAAATTAACAGGCTTTAAGATTATACCTATAACTCTATGTGCCCTAAAGTTGACAAGGGCCTGACTGCACAACATTGTGACACTTATCAAATTTAAAGCACCTGTGATCCTTGAAAAATGGCCTGTGATACAAATGACTAAAAAGATGTTTCTTCAGATCCTGGAAGAAGTTTCAATATAAATTTGTCCTGGCTTCACTTTTTGCTTCTCCACTTTTAATTTTTTTCGACTTCTCCTATTGTTGTCAACCATGCAGGCTTAAACTGTCATGTTGATGAACACACAGCATTAGATTATGTCTGTTGAACCAATATCTTTTACTGATAGTATATTGGGAAATGTTTCTTCTTGATATTGTGTTGAGAAATGTTCTTCTTTGTATAATTTATTAATTTATAAATTTATATTGGCATTCTTCACTAACAGGTTGATGTCAAGATTTCTCCTGGTACCCATGACTCAGAACATGCAGGTAATGCAGTGGGGGGTGGGGGGGGGGGTTCTGTTCCGCTAATTTGTTCAGTTGATCAATGAATATGAATATGTCTGTACAGTAAGTCTCCACCTAAGATCCCCCCACTTAAGATCCTGCTGTTTTAAGGAAACAAAATTTTTACTACACAAAAGTAGCCCCTAAGTCTAAGACCCCACTCTGAAGGATTACATTTGCTGAGATTCGGCATTTCAGATCATAATATTGAAAAATAACCTGGGCAGGCCCAGCTGATCAACGAAAAGGAGCTTAAAATTTGTGACCAATGTACTGCCAGTTGTGTCACAGATCAGCCACTCTTGTGAATGCGATCACATGTCCATTGGAAATTTTGATAAAGAAACAGTACGATGTTTGCCCCAGACAAGGTCACTCCAAGGTGTGAGCTTGTTGGCTTGTTTGTTTGCTCCAAATATTGCATTCGCATCTGAGCTCTTCACCTGATCATATATCACAAGCTTGGTGAGTAGGGCCTCAGATGGGCTGACATCGATCTGAAACATTCGGTGCTTTTGTTTCCCTGGCCATTACAGCCATTGTCTCTTCACCCGTATTTGCTAGACAGACTGAATTTTGATTGGTGCCATCACAACACAATGGTGCACTATGGCAGAGGCGGGGGAACTCAGTCAGAGATGGAAAGTAAGGTCCGGTTGGAATATCGGCCTTTTGTATTGAAGGATACAACAACAAAAACGAAAGCGAGTAGATTATTTATGTTTGTGTTTCGCTATGAACTAGTTTGAGTGTGTAAGTGTGTGTGTAATTTGGGGGGGGGGGGGGGGGGGTGTTCTGCATGTTCTATCATGAGTCAAGCTGATTATAGAGGTAAATTTAGATTTACTGTTTCTTTTCATATTGTTTTCAGAATTGTGGTACAGGTATGGTATGTGAACAGTATTTCTTGGATGGGTGGTTGATTTGACTGGGGAGTACTCTTATGGGCTTACTTACAGTATTGTGATTGATGAAGACATTTCTTTTCTTTTAGAATTGCTTGTGGAACAATGTTTTACTAGATTATTGTGAAGGAAAGGATTTTTTCACTACTTTTCTCTGACGTAAGTAAGCCGTGAGAGCAAGAAGAAAATAATACTAAGCCTTTTTTTTTGGGGTTCCTACTTTCATTTTTATTAAGGTGAACTAGGTACAGCTGAAATGAAAATTTTTGTTTGGGCTCTAAATTAAGTGTACTGGGATTCCCAATAACCAGTATGGGTCAAGAAACAGAAACACACTATCCCTATATGATTTCACTGTCAATTTTTTAAATTTTTTAGATGCAAAGGGTTCGACAGACCAAAATTCGCGCAAATTGTTGGCAGGGATTCTGAAAAAGATTGAATTGATACAGCCTTGATATTGTCACACAGAGTTTGTGTATATACAGTCTGCAACGTACTAAAGATTTACTTTCCTAAGTCTCATACTTTTCTTGTAACTGCCCTTTTAGTGTCATATACGATACTTGGACAAAAACATGATCACAAATCAGAGTTATACTGCCAATCTTTTTAACACTGACGGAAGACTTATTACAATATCACAATAATCTTTTAGTACGTTGCAAACATATTATCTAGAAACAGTCATGCAAAGTTGGATTCCGCTGCGACGAGTACTTTTAGAAATATCTCTGCCAAGGTGACCCACCCCCCTAAGAAAATCATAGTTTTTAGAAAACTTTAAAAAACACGAATTCATACCATTCTATTACCACACAATGTTAAAATACATGGCATATGTGAGCACTTTATAGATGTTTTGGACACTTGAAAATATTTCCAATCGATAAAGCAGATGTTGCTCTACTAAAATAGTCCAAAATCGAAAAATCGGTTTTGGATACCAAAATCGACTTTTTAGGCTGCCGTGGTGTACCTTAATAAGTTTCTGTTGTTTGCCTTTGGACTCTGTAGTGAACAAACAACTAGCAGACAAGGAGCGTGTCGCAGCTGCCCTAGAGAACTCTCACCTGCTGGAAGTTGTCAATCAGTGCCTTGTGAGGAGAGCCACAGGCTGAACTCACCACCTCGATTGTTTGTTTTCTTGTATTGTGGTTAGCTTCGTTATTCTGTAGGTTGCTTTTGTGAGGCAGGGATCGTTTTTTCCCCTGCCTATCTCAGGTGCTAAGTTATTTCTGCAAAAATGATGCTTTCATATGCATACCATTACGGTGTAGATGAGAAGAAAAAAATTAGCAGTTGTGCACATATATGTGCATTAGTGTTCAAACTACTCGTAAAGTAACCTCTTTGTTTATTCTATACTTTTGTATTTATGACCACCATATGATGATATTGTTGAGTTTTAGAAACCAATTGATATAGTATAGGTCTACTATTGTAACTGCTTTCATGTCCCATTTATGTCTAGCACAGCATTTGGTATAAAATAAATGGAATTTGTCTTTCAAATGAATTGTATTTTGCCTTGAGAATTAAGGATCCACCCAAGATTTATTAAATTTTAATTTAGTTCTTGGCCAAATATGGGTGTGAACATTTGCTTTTCTTTTTAAAGCTGTTTTTTAAACCAAATATGGATCTCATACTATGGGGTATGAAAGAATTATGATTAGTGGTTATTTAATCTGGAAATTTTTTAAAGGTAAGAATTTTAATGTGTTCAAGTGTTTATGATAATATGGTGTGGTTCTCTGATGTCTGTGCTTGTTAAAGGGGAAAAAAAAAGTAGTGGAATCACTCTGTATCAAATATATTTGTCACAACGTGGTGGAATCAGGCATTCGTCGATTTGCGGGCATGTAAAGTTATTGGTATCATCTGAAATTATTTATTTGCCTTGTTTTAAATGAAAAAAATACCCATCTCTCTTGAATAGAAGTTGAGATATTTGCAGTTGAAGGAGGTGGGGTCACCTGGTTTCAGAGGTAAAATAAGCGAGAAAATGGCCGCCAAAGTTTGGTAATTTGAATAGCTTGAGAGTCCTTAAAAACTGGAAATTTACACATTTTGTGCCTTTAATCTATGTTTTCCAGTAACATTCACATTGAAATGGGTTTTTATATGGACATAACATGTGTTGAGCCAAAAAACAAAAAATCTATAAAAATTGACAAACTGGTGGAAAAGTGCCGGTGGAAAAGTGCCTGTTTCTTCGATTTCGTTATTTTGACGAGCGCCTGATTTCACCATGATGCCTCACATATTGTATTGCACCTAGTTTTTATGTCATAAGCCGTTCATCTAAACAAGAAACCATTGTTGTGCCACAGACAAGAAGTGATTTGTTAATTGTTTTCTTTTTCTTTTTTCTTTGTATTCTGATTCCACTGACACCACCAAACAGTTTGATTATATGTTGACAGGTATGCATAGCTGTCAGGACAGTGGTACTCATATTAACATTGTTTTTGTATAGGCTGCTCAGCTTGATGATCTCCGAGCTGATTGGCCCATGTAAATAAATAAAGGTGTAAATTTTACATGCTATTGGCTTCACTTTTTAATATATTGTCTGTTTTTCGTGCCATGAAAACTGAGCTCGGTGTTTTACACCTTTGGTCCAGTTTTGTCTGGGGTTTTTTTTTGTTTTTGTGGTCTTCACCAGTAGCCTACTAGTTAGAGAGTCTCTTCATCGTTGGATGCAAATGCAAAGACAAGCTTGCTTCCTGAGTAGGGAAGTCATTTTTCTTGTTAATTTCTGTCTATCTGCTGGCATGATGCATCGCTCTGGGTCTGTGTTAGTCTTGAATTGGAAGAAGAAGCAACTGGCCTCCTGATGTACTATATATAAATAATATATATATGTATACTATTTCGATCAGGTCGAAAAATGGTAAATACAGTGTAAGATCTTTACTATTGCTTTTAAAAAAAGAACGTTGCCGTGTAGGTACATCGCAGACTGTAATGATTATAATATTATGTATTTGTAGAATGTTTATTTACACAGTCTGGATCATTCAGGAGGCAGGCTTCTTCAATTCTGCCTGTCGGGGGTCACTGCAATTGCCAAACGGGCTGAGAGCTATACATCATCCCAGAAGACAGACGAAGATACCATTATCAGTACTCGATAAAATAATTTTTCCGACATAGAAATCGAACTCCCATCCGTTACGACTAGCCTCACAACCACATCATAGACGCCGGTACGACGCAGTCTCTCCTGAGCAAAACTGATTATATATTTGATTAATAATAGCGTGACTGAAAAGGCATCTAAACGGGTGGTTGGCGGGTGCTCTGGTGTGGTTTGCTCCTTTTTTCCTATCACACATCAGTCGTCCTTATCTCCCCTCATTCTTTTTTGTGTTTGTTACTCTCTTGTAACACTTCTAATCTTTGGCACTTATATAACCTTATTGTGTTGCAAGTGTCGTAAAACTCTTACTAAAACTGAACTAAAAAGGCATCTAAGTCACAGCTAACCAAAGTAGAAAAGTTTGTTTTTGTTTTTTTGTTGTTGGGTGTTTTTTTTTTTTTT